CTGTCTGCTCTGTGATACAGAGTCCTGATGACTCCTAACTTGTGCTCCAAAGGGTGATGGGAGTCAAACTGCAAATACTGGTCTGTGTGGGTGGGTTTGCATCTCTTCAAATTCTTCACCTACTTTTCTGTCTCCCTGGCATGTGAATGTCTACCAGTGTGTTGTTATTGGAATTGGGATGGGCTTGACGAATTACCAGTAAACTAAACTTCTTTTGTTGTTGGGTCTTGGACTTGACATGCTGTGCATGTCAAGTCATGCACAGCCATTCATTGTGGGTGAAGAATTTATCTGACAGACAGCTCACCCAGCTGGAGACAGAGATTCTTGCCAGGGGACTGAACTTTGCAGTTGCACCAAGAAGAATTCTTCTGGTGGAGATGATCACAGCCATGGAATCAGCCATCCGCAACAACAAAATTAAAGAGGGTGAAACAGAACAGCTCAGAATCAAAGTTTCATCCTGCCTCAGCAATGCCAAACCACCACCTTCCAACATCAGTAGAGAGGAGAGGGATGCACTCACCACTCTTAGCAAGGATAAAAACATCATCATTCTCCCAGCAGACAAAGGAAGGTGCACAGTGATTTTGAACCAGAAAGACTATCATGAGAAAGTTATGACACTCCTTAGTGACTTAAACACTTATGAACCTCTGAAAAGAGATCCAGGAAGTGGTTACAAGAAGAAGTTAATAGATTGCCTGAAAAATTTGGAGCACATTTACAAACTGAGGTGTACCACAAACCCTCCCACACAGACCAGTATTTGCAGTTTGTTTCCCATCACTCTTTGGAGCACAAGTTAGGAGTCATCAGGACTCTGTACCACAGAGCAGACAGCGTCCCCACTAGCTCAGGAGCCAGGCAGAAGGAGAAATCCCACACAAGACAGGCTCTAGAGCAATGTGGATATCCTAACTGGGCCTTCCTGAAAGCAGAGAAGAAACCCAAACAGGACTCCAGTCAGCCAACAGGTGAAAAGGAGGAACCCAGACCCAGACCAGTGGTCATTCCGTATGTTGAGGGAGTATCAGAGAAACAGATGTTTATTTTCTAAACATAACGTCCCAGTGGCTTTTAAACCCCAAAATACATTACGGCAAAGACTGGTTCATCCCAAAGATCCAGTCCCCCGGCACAAACAGAGGAATGTTGTGTATCAAACCTGTAAACTCAGAAGGGATGATAAAAGGTGACAAACCTAGTACCTGCCCCCTCACCCCCCAAACACTTGATTCAATAACTATTTTAAAGACATTAACAAAATTAAGTCAGGTCCCATGAACAGATTTTTTTTTAATTGTTGAAATTATTGATCATGCATCAGGATATTTTAGAGAAACCTCGTTCAACTAGTCCATATCTGCATCATCCTCTTTTTAAACTCACTCCTGTGGTTAAGACAATGAAATTAATGTGACACAATTTATCACCCCCTCCCTGGGCTGCCACCTTACCGTGGTGGAGGGGTTTGAGTGTCCCAATGATCCTAGGAGCTATGCTGTCAGGGGCTTTATGCCCCTAGTACGGTCACCCATGGCAGACAGGTCCTAGGTGAGGGACCAGACAAAGTGCAGCCCAAAGACCCCTTTGATGAGAAAAATAAACGGACCTAATGTTCCCTTGCCCGGACGTGGGTCACCGGGGCCCCACTCTGGAGCCAGGCCTGGAGGTGGGGCACGCGGGCGAGCGCCTGGTGGCCGGGCTTTTACCCATGGAGCTCGGCCGGGCACAGCCCGAAGAGGAGACGTGGGTCCCCCTTCCCATGGGCTCACCACCTGTGGGAGGGGCCAAAGGGGTCGGGTGCAATGTGGGATGGGTGGTGGCCGAGGGCAGGGACCCTGGCGGTCTGATCCTCGGCTACAGAAGCTGGCTATTGGGACGTGGAATGTCACCTTACTGGTGGGGAAGGAGCCTGAGCTGGTGTGTGAGGCTGAGAGGTTCCGGCTAGAAATAGTCGGACTCACCTCTACGCATGGCTCGGGCTCTGGAACCAGTTTCCTTGAGAGGGGATGGACACTCTTCCACTCTGGAGTTGCCCCTGGTGAGAGGCGCCGAGCAGGCGTGGGTATACTTATTGCCCCCCAACTTGGTGCCTGTGTGTTGGGGTTCACCCCAGTGAATGAGAGGGTGGCCTCCCTCCGCCTACGTGTGGGGGGACGGGTTCCGACTGTCGTTTGTGCTTATGCACCAAATGGCAGTTTGGATTATCCACCCTTTCTGGAGTCCTTGGAGGGGGTACTGGAAAGTGCATGTCCTGGGGACTCCCTTGTTCTGCTGGGGGACTTCAATGCTCATGTGGGCAATGACAGTGAGACCTGGAGGGGTGTGGTTGGGAGGAACGCCCCCCTGATCTGAACCAGAGTGGTGTTCTGTTGTTGGACTTCTGTGCTCATCATGGATTGTCAATAACGAACACCTTGTTCAGGCATAAGGGTGTCCATATGTGCTCTTGGCACCAGGACGCCCTAGGCCGCAGTTCAATGATCGACTTTGTCATCGTCTCATCTGATCTGCGGCCACATGTCTTGGACACTCGGGTGAAGAGAGGGGCGGAGCTGTCAACTGATCACTACCTGGTGGTGAGTTGGCTCCGATGGTGGGGAAGGATGCCGGTCAGACCTGGCAGACCCAAACGTATTGTGAGGGTTTGCTGGGAACGTCTGGCAGAGTCTCCTGTGAGACGGAGTTTCAACTCCCACCTCCGGGAGAACTTTGAACATGTTCCGAGGGAGGTGGGGGACATTGAGTCTGAGTGGACCATGTTTCGTGCCTCTATTGTTGAGGCGGCTTACCAGAGCTGCGGCCGTAAAGTTGTCTGTGCCTGTCGCGGCGGCAACCCTCGAACCCGATGGTGGACACCGTCGGTGAGGGATGCTGTCAGGCTGAAGAAGGAGTCCTATCGGGCCTTTTTGGCCTGTGGGACCCCGGAAGCAGCTGATGGGTACCGGCAGTCCAAGCGACATGCGGCTCGGGTGGTTGCTGAGGCAAAAACTCGGGCATGGGAGGAGTTCGGAGAGGCCATGGAGAACGACTTCCGCACGGCTTCGAGGCGATTCTGGTCCACCATCCGGCGTCTCAGGGGGGGAAAGCGGTATGCTACCAACACTGTTTACAGTGGGAGTGGTGTGCTGCTGACCTCAACTCGGGATGTTGTGGGTCGGTGGGCGGAATACTTTGAAGACCTCCTCAATCCCACCGGCACGTCTTCCACTGAGGAAGCGGAGCCTGGGGACTCTGGGTCGGGCCCTCCGATCTCTGGTGCTGAGGTCACCGAGGTGGTTAAAAAGCTTTTCGGTGGCAGGGCCCCTGGGGTGGACGAGATTCGCCCGGAGTTCCTTAAGGCTCTAGATGTTGTAGGGTTGTGTTGGCTTACGCGACTCTGCAATATTGCGTGGACATCGGGGGGAGTTCCCCTAGATTGGCAGACCGGGGTGGTGGTCCCCCTATTCAAAAAGGGGGACCGTAGAGTGTGTTCCAACTACAGGGGAATCACGCTCTTAAGCCTCCCTGGTAAGGTCTATTCGGGGGTTCTGGAGAGGAGGGTCCATCGGATAGTCGAACCTCGGATTCAGGAGGAGCAGTGCGGTTTTCGTCCTGGCCGTGGAACACTGGACCAGCTCTACACTCTCAGCAGGGTTCTGGAGGGTGCGTGGGAGTTTGCCCAACCAGTCTACATGTTCTTTGTGGACTTGGAGAAGGTGTTCGACCGCGTCCCTCGGGGGACCCTGTGGGGGGTACTCTGGGAGTATGGGGTATCGGGCCCTTTGATACGGGCTGTTAGGTCCCTTTATGACCGGTGTCAGAGCCTGGTCTGCATCGCCGGCAGCAAGTCGGGCTTGTTTCCGGTGAGAGTGGATTGCGCCAAGGTTGCCCTTTGTCACCGATTCTGTTCATAACTTTTATGGACAGAATTTCTAGGCGCAGCCAAGGTGTTGAGGGGATCCGTTTTGGTGGCCTTAGGATTGCGTCTCTGCTTTTTGCAGATGATGTGGTCTTATTGGCTTCATCAGATCGTGATCTACAGCTTTCGCTGGAGCGGTTCGCAGCCGAATGCGACACAGCCGGAATGAAGATCAGTTCCTCCAAATCCGAGGCCATGGTCTTGAGCCGGAAAAGGGTAGAGTGCCCTCTCTGGGTCAGGGAGGAGGTCCTACCTCAAGTGGAGGAGTTCAAGTATCTCGGGGTCTTGTTCACAAATGAGGGAAAAATGGAGGTGCAGCGTCTGCAGTGAAGCGGGCGCTGTACAGGTCTGTCGTGGTGAAGAGAGAGCTGAGTCAAAAGGCGAAGCTCTCAATTTACCGATCGATCTACGTTCCTACCCTCATCTATGGTCACGAGCTTTGGGTTGTGACCGAAAGAATGAGATCTCGGATACAAGCGGCCAAAATGAGTTTTCTCCGCAGGGTGTCTGGGCTCTCCCTTAGAGACAGGGTGAGAAGCTCGATCATCCGGGAGGGACTCGGAGTAGAGCCGCTGCTTCTCCACGTCGAGAGGAGCCAGTTGAGGTGGCTTGGGCATCTGTTTAGGATGCCTTCTGGACGCCTCCCTGGTGAGGTGTTCCGGACACGTCCCACCGGAAGGAGGCCCAGAGGAAGACCCAGGACACGCTGGAGGGACTATGTTTCTCGGCTGGCCTGGGAACGCCTCGGGATTCCCCGGAAGAGCTGGCCCAAGTGGCTGGGGAGAGGGAAGTCTGGGCCTCCCTACTTAGGCTGCTACCCCCGCGACCCGACCCCGGATAAGCGGAAGAAAATGGATGGATAATTCATCACAATGACTTTAGGGGTGCACTTGACTTTTATTTTGTTTATTTTTTTATTTACAATAGTTTTATATGTAACAACAGGCCACTGTGCTAAGCAACAGTGACACTGAACTGCATGTTTAAAAATAAGAATATTAACTTTACCCAATGAACATTTTAATATCCACAAACAGTGAATTTAGGGGACTTTTTACTATTTTCTGATTTAGTGATAGACTCATAACAGAAAATGACCTGACATCATGCAGCCTCAACACTAAATGACACTGTGCATTACAATAATGACACAAAAAAAAAATCATTTGAGTCAGTTTTGTCAACCTGCATGTAATTATTAAAACTAAATAATTTACAGGTTCCTTCCAACATTGGTATCACAGTTTCTAAACTTTATAACGTTTATTCCACTTTCCTTCACAATCCACTTGGAATAACATCCATCTCCTTCTCCTGTTGTTTTTCTTTCCACTGTTCCTTCCCCATCACTGATTTTAGCTATTTTACTTTCCAGAAAAAACTTGTGTTACTTGGCACCATTCTCCCTAACACCATCTTTCTCCTTCAAGGTGTTCTCTAGAACTCCATCTGCTGGACTTTTCTAATCTTAATGTAAAATCTTGCCGTGCACAATACAGATGTGCTAGCCAAGATGCAACAGATGAACAGCCACTGGCCAAAAGGATGGACCAGCACAGAAGATCAACATCATCAGGCCAGCGGTCACTCGTTCAGGGATGAAGATGTTCACATCCTGGACAGAGAGGAATGATGGTTTGAGAGAGGAGTAAAGGAGGCCATCTTTGTGAAGAGTAACCGTCCATCATTAAAAAGGGGCGGAGCCTCCATGTTCAACTATCCCCCTCTTACAATGCTGTTATTGCATCATTCAGCCCTCTGTGAATAGCAAACGGCCATCAGGGTGCTACGATGGGTTGTTAGGCTGATGGTCCTCCTTGATCCTGTGAACAGCTGGTTCTGGATGTCAACAACAAAACTGGTTGATCCACTATGAGAAGGTGCTGTTTATAAGACTGAGTTTGTTACAGCTCCTCAGACTGAGGAAGTGTTTTGGATAAAAGACGAAACGTTTCAACAAGAAGAATCAGTCCAGAGGACCTGAGCCAGCCTTGTTAGATCACATTAATATTTTGTCAGGAGAGCCGTTCTCCAGCTGCAGATGGATAATCCCAACACGTTGATGAGTTCTCAGTCTATTTAAGCCAAAAGGTTTACTATGAATGACATATCAGCGAACAACTCTTATAACCAAAACAAACAAACAACTTGTCGTCAATGTTTTTCAGGTTCACGGCGTGGTCAGTCTGACGTGAAGCGCTCTTACTTGTAGTCGAAGCGCAGGTTGGGGAAACGCGACATGAGACGCTCGTAGGTCTCTTTGAGATGAGCCACCTCCCGGGTGAGCCGCCTCCTTTGCTCCAGAAGACTTTCTTCCTTTCCATCTGCAACAAGAACAGCCGTTACAGAAGTAATTTTAAAAGTAAAAGGCAAATTGTCTGCAATAAACAATGTTAAGCCATGGCACCTTCATAGTTGAGTTTGGCCAGCTCAGCCTGCAGCTTGTCTTTGTTGTTTCTGACGGCCTGAAGGGCATCCTGGTCCTTTTTGTAGCCACTGTCCATCTTTTTCACCTCAGCCTGTTTGGACTTCAGCTCAGCCTGAGCGTGTTTTAGAGTCATTTGAGCCTGGACAGAAGTGTTGTTGTTAAAAACTGTCACTTGTTCCCACGTTCATTTCCATTCAATAATAAATATATTTAAAGGGAAGCGCTCACCTGCTTGGCCTCTGTGTCGGCCTTGCTAATGTCGTTTTTACAGGCCATCATCTGCCCGGCGAGCGTGACCTCCTCTCCGTCCTCGTTGGTGGAAAGACCTGCAGACACGGCCTTGAAGTGCTGCTCGGCCGCCTCGAACGCAGCGGTGTCCTTCTGTCCTTCCTCCTGGACAGCCTGAAGCAGCTCAGCCAGCTTAGAAACTTCCTTTTCCTTCACCACAAGCAGTTTCTTATCCTGAGGATTTGAGAACAGAATGCTCACATCTGGAACTGAGCAGATTGCCCTAATTGGATAAAGTTGATTTTAATCTGAGATCAGCAGCATTTATTAATCCGTTACCTCCTCCATCGTCTTTAAAAGCTCCGTCCTCTTCTTGGTTTCATCTTTGAGATTCTGTTTTTTTAAGTCCAGTGAACTCTGAGCCTTGGCATCCACACGCTGCACTTCAGCTAAAGCGTCCTCCAAGGATTTTAACACCCCACTCAACTCCTTGAAACAAACAAAGTGACAAAAACTGTCAGAAATAAAGTGTTTTTTCCTGTACTGTACAAACACTAAAGTACTCAACCATTAAAAATTTCTGAATACATATTGTAAATCTATTTTAAAAGACCCGTTGAGTCATAAAAAACACAAAGACCTAGACTTGCTGCCTGGTTAAAAATAGAAATTACTTATGAGATATTTTTGTTAACCACTGTCAGCTGCTACAACAGGCTCGATATGCACAAACCTCACTGAGGTGCAGTCATTTTTATGTTGGCCAAGATCAATTAACTGTGGCGCCGTCTTGAATTTGAATGTCTTGATGTCATCAAGGCATGGATGGCTTCAAAATGATTAAGATCAGAAAACTGAAGTGATTGTGTTCAGCCCTAGCTCTACAGCTGTTCCTGTAAACCTCGACTCTCATCAGTTTTATCTAAAGCAGTTTGATATGAATCTCGGGATGCTTTTAGACGCTGACTTTAAGTTTAATAAACAGATTAATGACTCTGTTCTGCACAAAAGCGTCTTCCAGTTAAAGCAGATAGCTAAGCTTAAGTCTGGGTCGACCAGATCTGACCTTGAAAAATTACTAGTCCACGCTTTCTTTACAACCTGACTTGATTACGGTCATGTGATTTATGTTGGGGTGAGTCAGGTGTCCCTCTCACGTCTGCAGCTCATCCAAAATGCTGCTCGGCTATTAACAGGAACTCGTAGGTTTGAGTGCATTTCACAAGTTTTGTCCTCCCGTCACTGGCTCCCTGTACGTATCAGAATAAATTTTAAAATTCTCCTGTTGACGTTTACCGGATTTTTCGGCCTATAAGTCGCTTTTTTCTTTTTTGCACAATTTGCATGCCCTGCGACTTGTACACTGAAGCAACTTATTTATGGATTTTTCCACATATTTATAAACCAATTTTTGGTTGAGATAGACCTTTTTCATTGATTCTGACTGAAATATTGAACACTAGCATTTTTCAGCCACTAGATGGTAGCAGAGTAAAATGGCATGCCGTTGTATCATGTAATACGTAAAGTGGCTATTAACTGCACAATACGCCTGCCACCTTCATCCAGCTCCAGGATCATGCCTGGAGCAACCGTCCAGTCAGCTTCATTTCAACGCACTGCTCCGACGAAATTCAGCTGATTTGACCATTGAAGTGCATTTATTAAGCAAAAGTTAGACTGAGTCACACCTTCACTATAAAGTCGGGCAAACAAATAATTGTTTTAGGTGCTTATCTTGTTAAATTTCGAAGAAATGCACAGAGACTCGTCCCTCTGTGAGCTCCTACTTATACGTATCAGCTTTTGAAATGCAGCTGATTTGACTGACAAAGTGCATTTATTAAGCAAAAGTTAGACTGAGACTAGGGCTGGATGATATATCGATATCTTAAAAATATTGAGATGATTTAAAACGCAATATAAAATGAGACTATATCGATATAAAATGATAGTTTCTTATACTCTACATAAAGATATAAATCCACCAGTTTTTCTCCCAGTCTGCATCCTTTCACACCAACCCTTCTCTCTCCTTCACTGACAAACCCGCTCCTCCCCGGCTGCTTGCTCCAGCTGAAGAAGCTTAGATATGCAGACTAGGGGTGCACTGATAAATTGGCCTTAAATTCCTTAATTTGGGGAAATCGGACGATACTTGCATGAGAAATCTATTTTACTGATTTTTTTTAGTTTTAACAACAATTGTCTGAACTTCATTTATATTTCAGAGCACTACCTCACGGCCAGATAAAACAAGTTTGTATTGTTTCTAAGATATTGTTCAAGGGTATGTTTTTCAGTAACATAAGATTGGACAATTGAAGGTGCATTGTGACCTTACAACACCTGACAGTGTCGCTTATGAAACAAAATCGGAATCGGCAGGTCAGACTTTTTAGAAATCGATGATAGAAATCGGTCAGAAAGCTGCAATCGGCGCACCCCTGCTGCAGACAGGTCTTTGTAGATCGACAGAGGGAGAACCACTTTAAATTCCTGATAAGGTGTGAACAATGACGGTGGCTGCTTCAACAAAGCTGCAAGGCTCCGTCTTGTGTCGGGAGAAGAAAACACTCTGACACGCAGCTTGGACTATATGTTTAACCAGAGCGGTGCATTCGAGAGCACAGAAACTTTTAAATTCAGAAAGAAACGAGGCGTAACCAAACAGAACCGAGCTCAGTAAACAAACCAACTACACAACAACGTGGGCTTTCTAACAGCTTTGTTAATAAAAGTTGAATGAATATGCTTCATTAGAGTCAGACTTTTTAAAGAGCAGCCAGCCTTTCATCTGTATGTGCTCTGTTTAAATTTTAAGTTCACAGCTGTGTTTTTGGTTTTGTTATGCAGAGGGAAAATATATATATATATATATATTTTTTTTTTTTTTTTTTTGAGACATTTATTTTGTACAGTTACAGTTTTGTTAAGCTGTGTGACAATTGGGACAAAGCTTTGACTCAGAAATATATTTCTGTTATTACTTCACGGAAAGAAAAAATATTGAGATATATATCGTACATGGCCATTTATCTTAAAATATCGATATTAATTTTGGTCCATATCACCCAACCCTAACTGAGACACACCTTTACTATGATTTCAAGCAAAAAAAAAAAAAAGTTTTTTAGTGTTAATCGTGTTAAAGTCCTCCCATGCACGCTCCCGCCATTTGGCAGCCAATAGATTTTTGACACAACACCGGCCCATGTTTTTGGATCGTCAGCGGTGACGCGTAATAGATGCGACGCATACGGTGAAGTGACGTAATTATGTTTTTTTCCCACTTTATTAGACATATTTGGACTGATGTTACTTATAGGGTGGTGTGACGTGTACGGCGGAAAATAATGATAAGTGCATTAATGGCCTTACACCCTCATACATCTCCAACCTTCTGTTTCTTCTCGGACACTGAGATCATCTGACCAGCTGCTTTTGGTTGAGCATAAAACCAGATTGAAGCTCAGAGGAGATCGGCCTTTTTCAGTCGCGGCCTTAAACTCTGGAACAATCTGCCCCTCAACATTAAACAGGTCACGTTACTTTCAGTTTTTTAACATTTCATTTCACTGACTTTCAACCCAGTGTGATTTGTTTATTTTATTGTTTTGCGTTTTATGTTTTTCTTTTGATGATATAAAATTTTTTTTTAATGACTGCCATTGTTTTTTTTAATTGCCAAGTACTTTGGTAAAAACTGCTGTTTTTAAATGTGCTTTATAAATAAATTTGACGACAGCACACCAAAACATTTTCTAATGGACACTGTCTAAGGCACATACGTCAAACTCGAGGCTCTGGGACCAAATATGGCCCTCGTTGACATTTTCTCTGGCCCCCAAGATGACGTGTTAAACGTAAAATGCTTTCATCACTCAAATTATTTCAGTAATCTTTGATTATGATGTGGAAAGCACAACAGAGAACGTCAAAATGAGACCAACCAAACTCTTGTTGAGGAACCTGTGACCAGGAGAAGATGTTGGGTTTCTGACTTGAGTTAATGTAGTTTCTGAAAATGGCCCTTAGTTTGAAGCAAGTTTTTAATTGTGGCCCCCCTTGTGTAAGTGAGTTTGACACCCCTGGTCTGAGATGTCTCAAAAGAAATTCAGAAAGTTTTGCAGGACAGACCAATACTAAACAAATAAAACAACAATATGAGCTCATTAACTTGGTGAGAAAAGTTCAGCAAATTAACCTGATCCCCTTTAGTCCTCCTCACATACCTGGTCTCTTTTCTTCTCCAGCTCCTGAATCTGGGCTGAGAGCTCCTTGATTTTGTCCTCGTTCTCGGCCATGCTGGCCTGCATCTTGTTGATGTTATCCTGCATCACCTTCAGATTATCGGCCGACTTCAGTTTGGTCTCCTCGGCGCACACAAACAGCCAGGCCACGTAAAGCCTGGACAAGTGCTGGATCTCACGCATCAGCTTCTGGTACTCCAAATACGATGATCGTTCCTGAACACAGAAAGGTTAAAGACGTCTTTTTTTAATAATTGCTACGCAGAAACTTCTGCAAGAAGTGAGCTCAAACGCTAAAGTTAATTTACCTCTTGCAGCTTTTGCATAGTTGGAGTAATTTCTTCATTCAGAATCTAGAGAACAGAAAAAGTTTACAGCTAAAAACACGTTCACTGGAAAATAAAGAGAGAAATCAAAACAACTGCATCTCATACAGTCTGAATCTCCTTAAGCTTGGCCTCCTTCTTCTCGATCGTCTTCTGGGCACTGATCTTCTTACATTCATACATCCTGGTGCCTGCTGCCTCCTCAATCATGGCAAGAATCTGGAGGAAAGAAACGGATCATCTCCAAAACTTTAATTTTTTTAAAGTACGACGTAATCAAACAGGGCAGCACGGTGGCTCAGTTGATAGAGCTGTAGCCTCTCAGCGAGGTCACCGGATTAAATCCCAGCCCAGGGTCTTTCTGGGTGGAGTTTGCATGTTCTCTCCGTGCATGCGTGGGTTTTCTCCGGGTACTCCGGTTTCCTCCCACAGACCAAAAACATGCATGTTAGGCTGATTGGTAACTCTGAATTGTCCCTAGGTGTGAGTGAGAGAGTGAATGGTTGTTTGTCTCTATGTGTCCCTGTGATGGACTGTCCAGAGACCTGTCCAGGGTGTCCCCTGCCTCTCACAGTGACTGCTGGACATGAGCACCAGTGACCCCCATGACCCGAAAAGCAAGAAGAGGGTAAAGACAATGGATGGACTTAGTCAAACAATAGTTACCTCTGGCGGTTTCATGTTTAGGACCTTGGTGATCCTTCCCTATTAAAACAATAAAAAAGTATGTATGATACATGAAAACCTACTCACAAGTCAAACTCTACTTGTTTTTAACATGTGATTTGTTTTGCAGTTAAAGCTAAAAGATGCACGATGTGAGGCTGACCTGCATGATGAGGAAATGTGGGTTGTTGACATTGAGCCCCACAGAGCAGAACAAGTCCTGCACCCTGGTGTTGGTGGCATTCACTCCATTGATTAGGTATTTATTCCTGCCTCCGATCACCACCTGGGAGAGAGAAAATAGAAGATTGTACATAAAAACATACATTTAAATAAAACGTGTGGCTCCTGCGGGGTATCTAGCACTTTACCTGTCTGGTAACAGTGATCTCATCGTGGGTTTCAAAGCCCAGAGGACTCTGGCTTTTGTTGGAATTATCAAAAGTGATGGACACTGTGGCCTTGGTGATGCCCCCCTGTCCATTTTTATACACCAGATCCTGAAGGTTGGAGGCGCGCACCTTCAGCGAGAAACCACAGGAACAGTTTAACTTGGCTCAGTGCGCACACAAAGAGAAATAGAAAGACGAAACGTTTGCAGCAGATATGTGAACAACATTCTTACATGTGTGAGGTTAGAAATGCCCAAAAGGAAACAAATGGAGTCCAGAATATTGGACTTGCCGCTTCCGTTCAGTCCCGTGATGGCGTTGAACAGCGGGTCGAAGCCATTGATCTCCGTCCTCTGCGCGTACGATTTGAACCCTTCGATAATAATTGACTTGATGTGCATCTTTCTGCCTTCTCTCCGACGATTCCGGAGGTCAGATGCGTGCCAGCGACGAGCCTTGAAGTCAAACGCGCGATGGTCAATTCACACAGCCCCGTGTTTACAACCGACAACTGAGAAGCACTTAAATTTTGGCGGCACGCGGGCCTAACGATTCTGAAGCCGGCAGTCGTTTCCATTTCTAAGCCGGAAACAAAGCGATGCAAACATTTTACATAACTTAATTATATGAATATATGAAGATAAATTAATTTAAATACGTAGTTTTACTTGTTTATTTTTTAAATAAATGCAAGTTATAGTCATTATTTAATATTTAGAGCAATATATATTTATTTTATATCAGGCATATTTTAAGACTTCCAAACATCTACGAAGTGCGCCCCCTGCAGGTTATATTTATATTGAAGGTGGTTTTATGCCATTAGTTTATGCAGTATTCTGTGTGAAATACTTATCTGACTTTTTGTAAACTTTAAAGTTTCGACTTAGGTTCACTAGATGTTTAAAAAAATTCATTTTTTGCACAATATTTTATAAGTTTTTCTTTTATTATTTTAATTTTATGTAAGATGAATTAAACTTTTGCACTGTGAATGCTGATATAAAGTTCCTATTATTGAACACGACTTATACTGCTTATGTTATTATAATGGCACTATGTTATTGTGAAGTCTACTTTATTTCACCTCGTCAGTTATTTTTTTATGTTACATCTAAAAAAATGTCTATCAAATCCAAAGAGCTTTCATTGTACAAGTGCAAATCAGCTGCTTTTGAAAAACACATATTATGTTTAGGTAATTGTTCATATTACATATGTAAATTAATAAAATTTATTAAAGCTACTCATATTTCATAATGCATCCAAAAAAATTAACCATTTACTTTGTGCATGTAAGACAAAATCAAGTTAGGTGTCAAGAAATCCTTTATTTAGCTTCTTTCTGTGTTAAAATGGACTAAATTACAATGAAGTCAGTCAAATAAACACATTTAAAACATTGTTTTAATGCAAATTTTGCTTTGGCACCCCCTGGGAATGTAAACATATAGAGATGCTAAATTAATAATAATGGATTATTTATTTACTATGAAAGAACTTTAAAAAAAGTGTAGTAAAATGGTTTTCTAAACCTAATTTAATAATTCATTTTTAATAACAGCACACACAATAGCATGTTTATTGGAGGAAGTAATTAAAGGCAAATAAAAAACACAGTTAAGGAATGTCAATCTGTTTGAAACTCATACTAGCTATGAACATACACTTAGAATAATGATGCAAAAAATCAATAATGTTTTATTAAAGTTCCACTGAAGTGAACTCCATACCAATTATTGACTCATATATGTACAGTACATTAAATGATACACACAAACACACACAGTAATGATGCTGTTAAACATCCATGGGCACAGGACACAAGGACAGACACACCAGATTGAAGGCGTAGAAGCAGATCTGCGACAGAACGACACAGTCTCCTCTGTTGGAGTAGTAGGTGGTAGGTTTGATGTAAGCATGATCAAAGTTCTGCAGATTCAGGGATTGATGACAGTACCGGTCGCTGAGGGCGACCAGGGCGCGCACCATGGTGTATTTGGCCGAGCAGCTGACAGCTGTCACTGAACGCACCGTTTCAAAGTGCAGCAGAAAACAGGGGTCATCCTGAAGGAGGGGAGGAAGTTTAGAAATCAGCTTAATCATTTTAAGACAAATGGCGGACACTGCCCCATTAATGAAATAAAATACAATACAAACAATAAATAAAAACTACAAAAAGAAATACAATAAAATTAACAAATTAGTCAGGTCCTCTGGACGGACTCTTGTTTGCTGAAACGTTTCATCTTTTATCCAAAAGACTTCATCAGTCTGAGATCTTGCAAAATGCTCAGTCTTATTATAAATATCACTTTATCATTGTGGATCAACCAGTTTGCTTCTGACATCTTTCCATCCATTATCTTTTACCCACTTCTTCCTTTTTGGGTCATGGGGGGGGGGGTGTGTGTGTCACTGATGCCCATGTCCAGGTATCACTGTGCGAGAGGCAGGGAGACGCTCTGGACAGGTCTCCAGTCCATCACAGGGACACATCGAGACAAACGACACCAACGACCATTCACTCTCTCACTCACACCTAGAGTGAGATCAGTTTAATATTGCTTAGGCTGACAGACCAGCTACCAGATATTCACATGCAAAAGGAGGATATCAGCCCAACAATGGATGGTTAGTGCTCTGATGGCCGCTTGCTATTCAAAGGGGGCTGAGTCCCACTGTACTTGCAATAAGTCAAGTCAAATTTATTTATAAAGCACATTTAAAAACAGCAGCTGTTACCAAAGTGTTGAACATCAATGAGAGTAAAATCAATGGAAAAAATAACACACACTATTGATCATACTAAAAAAATTATTAAAAGCATTAAATAAAAAAAAACGTAAGAACACAGAACAAAAAAATACTAAATCAGCTCACACTGTGTGAAATGCCAGAGAAAACTGACGTTTTTAGCAGAGATGTGAACACAGGAAGGGAGGTGGCCTGCTTAATGTTGGGGGCAGGTTGTTCCAGAGTTTGGGGCCCATGATTGAAAATGCCCGATCTCCTCTGAGCTTCAGTTTTTGGAACAGCTAAAAGCAGCTGATCGGATGATCTCAGCGCCCGAGACGGAACATCAATTCTAGTACACACAGGGAGCCAGCGAAGGGAAGACAGAACTGGTGTAATATGCTCAAACCTACGAGTTCCAGTTACGAGCCGAGCAGCAGCATTCTGGACGAGCTGGAGACGTGAGATGGAGGCCTGGCCGACCCCAGTATAGAGTGCATTAATGATAAAGGCATGGACTCGTTTCTTGAGGTTGGATCTGGGCAACACTGGAAGAAGCTTTTGTAAGAGGGGTAATAATCGCGTTGTACGAGGGGGACATGCATCAGGATAAGAGGACAGTTGAACACGGAGACCCCCGCTCCTGAATCAAGAAACAAGGATCCGTCCAGAGGCCCTGACTTAACCTTGTTAAATATTTCTACCTGGATTATTGAGCATCAGGACATCAGTTACAGTAAGGTTTATAAAATTCTGTTTGTCATATCAAGACAGAAGAAGTACTTGACTTAAAGCAGTAAATATGTGGATGTCAATTCATATTTTCTTGTCAATATAGTGGATTAAAATATATTTTTGAACCCCTGATTTCGTATGCTTGCCCACTTTCAAACAAATGAACAATCTCTAGCTTTGGAGGGTCATTTCATTTGACGGCGCATGACAGATAATCCAAAATAAAATAAACATTACATAAAAGAAAAAGGGAAATAGTTTGCATTTTCTGTGAGTGGAACGAGTGTTTGAGCCCCGGGCCAAACGTGACCACAGTTCCTGTTGGTGAATGCTTTCTTGGCAGCATGGAGGTAAGATGTTTCTTGTAGTTGGTCAGCAGGTTTGCACGTCTCAGAAAGGATCTGTCCCACTCCTCTTTACACATACTCTAAATCCTTTAGGTTTCTTGGCGCTGGACAACTTGAGGCATCAGCTCCCTCCACAGATTTTTTTATAAGACGGAGGGCTGGGCTCCTCCATGATGTTAATGGTCTTCTTCAGCCACTCCTTTGTTGGCTCCGGGAAGACGCCAGCCACGACCCACCCTTTAATGTTCTGGTTGAGGGAGGAATTTTTTTTAATTCAACATTTTACAATACATTGCCCCATTCACTGGCCCCTCAGTGTGTTAAAGTCATCCTGTACGCTTAACAGAAAACAACCCCAAACTATAATGTTTCCACCTCCGTGCTTATCTGTGATTATGCTACTCTTTGGGTCAAACTCTGGATTTTATTTCCTCCTGAAACCACAGGTCTGGTTGATTTTTGTCTCATCCGCCCACAACATCTGACCTCTGTCCCATGCCTTCTTTAAGTCGTTTAGATCTTCACCAGATAACTGTGCTTTATGTTACGACTGAGAACTGATCGATTGCTCCATGAGAGGCAGAATCCTGCCTGGGTTGTAGGAGAGCAACACTTATTTCCCTCAACAGTTTGCAAATCAACATTTATGTAACACACACAGTCTTCTGTCTCTCTCCTTTAAAGGTTCAAGAATTGAAGCTTCTAGGATTGCGCCGCTCCAGGTGGCTGCATGTTGGAGCAGCTCTGTCACTTTCATTCTGAGATTTTGCTTTTTGAAACGTTTTAATTCCTCTTTTTTCTGGATGTAAATCACTTTTTTTAAATGATTGTTTCCTCTGGTATCAGATGCTGTGCAGCTGGAAGGATTTTTACTGAAACTTTTTTTAGTTTTGTACGTTTGTTATGATGCAACCTGTTTTGTATTTGTAATTATTTTTTCTATCCTTAACATGTGTGGTTTTTTTTTTTGTCTTTCAGATACACCTGGACCTATATCTGGACCTACCATTCTGTGTTCATCTGTCTCCTTCCTGTCCTCTCAACCAGCCGGTCAAAGCAGATGGCCGCTTGTCCTGAGCCTGGTTCTGCTGGAGGTTTCTTCTTGTTAAAAGGGAGTTTTTCTTTCCACTGTTGCCACTGTGCTTGCTCAGGATGAGAAACTGCAACGAAGCCAAGATTCATCTTGTCTGCTGGATTCCTTAGATAGAGAACTTTACTAATTGGCTTTTATGTATGTGGATGTTCCTGTAAAGTGCCCTGAGACAACTTTGTTGTGATTTGGCGCTATATAAATAAACTGCATTGAATGCGTAACCATGACAACATCAGGTGTTTTGTTATTTTTTTTACAATCGGGAGCAGCTGATTAACATCTCAAAAGCTCAAATAATATCTCAGCTACAGCCCCAAATCTCAAATGAGTTGAAAAGGAGGCACCGTAGATGCATTCCCATCTACCTGCCGGCTGTGCTCGAGTGCCTGACCAGTAAGATCCTGGAACTAGCAGGAAACGTGGCTCGTGACAGCAGAAGGGCCGGGTTCATCCCCCAACACCTGCTGCCGGCTGTCCACAGTGATGAGGAGCTCAACAGGCTGCTGGGAGGAATGGCCATCACTCTGGGAGGAGTTCAGCCCAGCATTCGGGTGGTCCTGCAGTCCGAGGGCACCGAGAAGCCAGCCGAGTCTGGGTGGATGGATCAGACGACATCTGCGGCCAGTTTCTTCAGATCTGCTGTGGGACGGACCTTTACAAGAGATCCTTCCTGCCTACAGCCATCAGCATCTATAACATATCTTAACGAAATGTGGATAACGAGCTGCAACATTTAATTTCCTTTTGGGATTAAAGTATATTTGAACTGAACTGTCACAAAACATCTGGACACTGATCACTTCTTTGCAATTGGGGGCAAACTCACGAAAATCAGCAGGGGCTCACGTGATATATTTCCTGACCTGCGGTAGCTCTTTGAACAGCCTCAATTTGGAGAATATGAGTTTAATCCTGACCAGACTGACAAACTAATGGCTTGACTCAACATTATTTTAAACAGACTTGTTGACTGCTCCAGTTTACTTTGGTCTTACTCCAAGACCAGCTGTCAGCTCGCCATCGTCAAAATCATATACATTTTATTTCCAAACGAAGGTTGTTCCAAGAGCTATCTCCTACAGGTAACATAACAATTGTTCATAATGATTCCATAAAATCCTACTTCAAAAATTTCTGAAATATTGCCTTAAAGTCAAGATTTTCCATCTGCTTGTATAAAAACAGTCTGGGTGCTACTGTTAAAACCTTTTAGTCTTTAAAACAAAACGTTATGTAATATAAAAAATGACTTTTGACAAGAACAAAGTACAGACACTGATCTGTTTTTGCACAGAGGGGGGAAACTGCTGTTTGAATCACGGCTCTGATTCCTCTTTGACATCCCCACAAAATAACACAAAGCTAAAAAGAATATGAATATGATGCCTGTAGTTTGTGTGGATTTAGCAGAAATGTTAACGTCTTCTTTCTGTAAAGGGATCCACCTTGAGCATGCAAACATTTAAAATCAGATTTGGTTAATTACCACATCAGGGTCTCGTCCGTCAACGAGGGTCAGGTCTTGCAGGGGCCAGATCTCTACCTTTTTGTAGCAGTCCTGGAGGTTGGACCGTTTGGTGTGCGACCTCTTGGAGCCAGATTTATGGGACATGACAAACACCTGGCATTGCACGATGCTCAACTGCACCAGTTTCTTTGATCCGACTGCACAAATAGAAAGCAATTCAATTAAAAATGAGAAATAAACGGAGTAAAACTGAGAATAAGAGCTGATTTTACGGAGCTGTTTACCTGAGACACAGAGAAAATGCCTCCCAGGTGATTCTTCTTCGATCTCAATAAACTCCACCAGTCTGTGCTTCGCAGGTCGGAATAAAACTCTCTGCATTTCCTCTCTCAAGAGAGAAGACATGACGGGGCAGAGAGGACTTCAAGCTTCACCAGAACAAAAAGAAAAACGGGCAAAGCAGGTGAGAAAGTCCCAGAAAGAGATGAACTGCTGGAAAAAAGAAGCTGATGACGATGTCTGGAGATGCACAGGTTCTGGCTGTGGTAGGGAGGAGGGAGGTGGTGATGGTTCCTCTTATCAGATAGTGAGAAAATTTGTGGTTGTGGCTTGGTTTTGTGTGTTTGTGTGTGTGTGTGTAAACTACTCTGCGCACACACACAGTCCACTTTGTGGTGGAAGGAGTTTGATGAGCCATCTTTGATTGACTTAATGCTTTCATATTGGTTCCCTCACAGGGGCGGGGGGACTAAGAGGGGGGCAATAAAAGGCCAATCCCTTCATCAGTTCACACTTTTATTGCTCCAATCAACATCCATTATGAAGAGCATCCAAATGCATTACACACCAGAGTTTGGATCTTTATCTGCTCGAAACACAGAAAAAGTCTGGACTTTTGGATCGTTCCATGTCTCCATTTTCCACCACCCTCGTCCAGCACATGTGGACAACGTCTGAGTTTCTGGAGTCTCTCTGTCTCCCCCTCTTACTTACATATAGATGGTGATATATTCTGTGGCTCAGTGCCCGCTGTTTGTCTGTGATTAAACGGTTGTTGTGTGGGAAAAGGATGTCCCACAGCACTCTACATGGTTTCCATTACCCCGGAGTAATTCAATCATACAAGTGGGCTGAAGCACTTATACAGGAGGCAGTGGGGAAGTTTTTTCTTCTCATTTTGTTTTACAAGCTCACAAAAGGATGCTACTTCTTCAGTCCTGGTGGCTTCATAAGATGTTTTGCTGACCAGGTGTACAATACACCTTGGTGTGTCAGTTCTTTTCTCTAATCCAAACCACACCAACGTGAACCGGACCAACACTGTGAGTGTGGCTCCGTTGGATCGCTGGTCACATTTGTGAACACAGATGAAGTTTTTCCACGGCTAAGTGCTTCACTGTTGTTGTTGTTGTTGTTGTTGTCGGCGCTTGTTGTGGGTGTTCACTTGAGAGGCTTTTTGTCTCTGAGATGGAAAGACGAGCAGATGGGCAGGAAGCAGAGAGCAAAAGGAAATGTACAAGTGTTGAAACCCATGAATAACACATGAGGTTTGTTGTACTTACCTATTATTTCTAAAATAACCGGTTGATTTCAGAGAGTGGCTTTTATATGCGCTGTCATGCATGAGGTCATGCATGAGGTTAAAGGCTGCAATGTTTGTGATATAAAACAAAACAGTCATGGAAAAATGCAAGCCTTGATGTTTCAGCACACTTTGAACATTTTCTGGTCTTTACTTACTCCAGGTGTTTAAAAACACACAAGAGATTCCACCGTGTCATTATGTAACCAATAAGGCCCAAATGGAAAACCTGTGTGAAAACATAAGAGCACCCTACAAACCAGCAGCTTGCACCGCCTTGTTTTCTGCTTTTACCTCATAACACTCCCACATGTTGTGGAGACATTCAGACCTTTGCAGCGTCGCTTCAGTTTATTAAAGTTTGCTTCTGCGCCACTCTCCTAATGTCCCACCACAGCTTCAGGTTGAGGTCCAGACTCTGTCTTTTCTTTCCACCCAGCCTGTTGTAGATCTGCTGCTGGGTTTACGATCTTTGTTCTGTTGCATCCTGACTCAGTTTGGACCAAACTTCAGCTGTCAGACCGATGGACTCACGCTTGACTCTAAAATCCTTTGGTCTACAGAGGAGCTCGTGGGCGACTCAGTGACTGTAAGGAGCCCAGGTCCTGTGGCTGCAAAGCGAGCCCAAACCATCCCTCCTCCACCATCGTGCTTGACAGTGTGATGTTTTTAGAGAAGGCAAGCCTGTGATCGAAATGTCGCCAGTTAACCCCCTGGACTGGCAACAACAGTGTTTTCCCTCACCTGCCCCACTCTGGGCCCTTGAGCGAGGCCCTTAACGCCCACCATCTGCTCCCCTGGGCACCCTAGATGTCAGCGCTCTGCTCCACACAGAGGGCTGTGGTAGCTCAGTGGTAGCTCAGTGGTAGGTCAGTGGCAGGTCAGTGGTAGGTCAGTGGTAGCTCAGTGGTAGGTCAGTGGTAGCTCAGTGGTAGCTCAGTGGTCTGTGGTTGTGTCAAAAAGGACATCTGGCGCAAAAACAATTACCAGGTCTTTGTTAGTTTGCTGTGGCGACCCCTGAGGAAGGGAGCAGTCGAAAGAAGAAAAACAAATAAACAAAAATAGTGTGTACAAATTTTTACCAAACATGGTACAGTGCATTATGGGTAAGCCTCTCTACAGAACATTTTCCTATCTTGTGATTCTTTCAGATTCAGCTTTGCCAAACTAAACGTTTTCAGTCTCATAGAGTTCCAGTCTCTTTATAAAACCTTTGGCATGAACTGTTGTCTGGAATGAAGCCTTGAGATATTTTTTTTTTCTTTGCAATTTTTCTGACCATTACACAGTCTGAACTTGGGGTGAATTTCCTGGAGCATTCACTTCTGGCAGTTGTCATAAATGTTTTCCACTTGTAAAAATATTATTTACTGCAGAACGAGGGACAGTAAATTATTTGTAAATGAACCCTTCCCAGACTGATGGGCAGCCACCAGGCGTGTCGTTAGACCAGGGCTTCCGGGGCTAAAGCCCCCAATGTTTCAAGACCCTAAAAACGCCCCTGGCAGCAACGCTCTACAAGATGTTAAACTAAATCTTGAAGGCATTTTGAGGTAGAGGATAATCGTAGGAACATATAATGATCTTAAGCTATGTGTCTTTGAAAACATTAGTTTATAGTTGTCTTTTGAGACAATAAAGATGAAAAAAAATGTGTGAAAATAAATTATACTAGAAAAAATACTGTTGACCAACCATGGATGACGAAAGGACTGAAAAATGCTTGTTAAAAAAAAAAGAACTATTTGTACTCATGCTTTCTAAAATCAAGAACACAAGAATCTGAAGAAAAATATAAGCGGTATAAAAACAAATTAGTAGGAATTATAAGAAAACACAAAAAGGAATATTATAGTGGTTTATTAAATAAAAGTAATGGTGATATTAAAGCAACATGGCGAGTAATGAATAATGTTTTGAAGAATCATAAATCAAAGATTGGTATCTCACAACATTTTGTAAAAGATAATGGTGAAATTTATGATGATAACGAAATTGTTAATGGATTTAATCAATATTTTGTGAATGTTGGATCAAATCTTGCAGACAAAATACCTAAAGTAAATAATATAGTGAACCATCCAATTATTAGTTGTGCAAACAGTATTTATCTTAAGGAAATCGACAAAGAAGAAATAATGAATGTAGTTAAAAAATTTACTGATAAGAGATCAAAAGACTGGGTTGATATGGACATGAAGCTGGTGAAGGATATAATGAGTCATATTATTGAGCCTTTTACATATATATGTAATTTATCGTTTACAACAGGAACATTTCCAGATAATATGAAAATAGCCAAAGTAATACCTCTTTTTAAGGAAGGTGATAAAAGTACATTTAACAATTATAGACCAATATCCCACAGTTTTCCAAAATTTTAGAAAAACTGTTTGTGATTAGATTAGACCAATTTATTGATAAACAAAATATTCTGAGTAATAGTCAGTATGGTTTCAGAGCAAAAAACTCTACGTCAATGGCTCTCATGGAATTTATGGAACAAATAACTACTGCTATGGATCAAAAACAAAATTGTTTAAGTATTTTTGTTGATTTAAAAAAGGCTTTTGATACGATTGATCATACTATTCTCATTGACAAATTAAGTAAATACGGTGTTAGAGGACCAGCATTACAGTGGGTATCTAGTTATTTAAGAAATAGAAAACAATTTGTGCAAATAAATGATGTAAGATCCAACCTCTGTAATATTACATGTGGAGTCCCTCAGGGTTCTGTACTTGGACCAAAACTATTTATTCTGTATGTTAATGAATTGGTAAAAGTGTCAGATCTCCTTAAATGTATCCTATTTGCTGATGATAACACTTTTTTTTATTTTGGTAAAGATAAGAAACAGATGTTTGAGTTGATGACGGCAGAATTTGTTGAAATACAAGATTGGTTTAAACTAAATAAATTATCATTAAATATAAGTAAAACTAAGTACATGATATTCAGTTAAAAAAAAAAGGAAATTATTGATGTTCCATTTACGATTGATGGTGTTGAGATTTGTTGTGTTAGTGAAATGAAGTTTTTGGGTGTTGTCATTGACGACAAATTGACGTGGAAACATCACATAAATTCTGTAAGGATAAAGACAGCCAAATCTATTGCAGTATTATACAAAGTCAGGAACTTGTTAAATGATAAAGCCCTGTATTTGTTATATAACACAATTATTGTCCCACATATAATTTATTGTATTGATGTTTGGGGAAAAGCATGTAAAACATTTACGGAACCTGTTTTCTTGCTGCAGAAAAGAGCAGTAAGAATAATCACTAGAAAACATTACTGTCACCCATCTAGCACATTATTTCATCAACTGAAAATATTGAAGTTCCATGACTTGGTGGATTATAATATTTTACTAGTTATGTATAGAGCTCATATAAATGAACTACCTGTGAATATCCAAATATATTTCATAAAACGACAAAGCTGTTATAATCTCAAGGGAAAGGAAATATTTGTTAAACCAAGATATAGAACCAGTTTGAAGGGTCGGTCAACCTCAATCCAGGGAATTAGATTGTGGAATGGTTTGAAAACTGAAGTGAAAAATGCAAAAACAACGATTACTTTTAAGAAAATAATTAAAAATGGACTACTACAAAAATATATATGAAATACTGTTACGTATGTTGCATTATAGTTCGAAAATTATAGTGAATTGTTCTTTTTTTCTTTTTTGTTTGTTTAGGTACTTATAGATGATTGTTGTTTGATTTGAATCATTGTAAGAGGGGGCAGATAAAATAAGATTTTTTTTTCTTCCTTCATTTTATTTATATATTATATAAACTTAGTTTGCATTATTGTTTTTTTTGTGTTGTATTTTAAAATGAATAAATTTAATTTAAAAAAAATAAAAGCACCTGCTTGGCCTCTTACAGAAGATCTTCATGTGCACTTCTTGTACAAACAAGCAGACTAATTCTTTCTTTTTAAATTCAAACCTTTAGTACTCTCTGAATTAACAGTTGCTCCTTCCTAAACGTGAACTGGAGGGTGCCTGTTTTACCTGAGACATACAGTAGTTTGTTATTTTGTGTGAGTGTTGTCCGCTCAAACTGTGATGAATCAGGCATCCACTCCTCTGAAGATCAGCAGCTGTCTTCAATATTTTCCATTTATGAACAGTTTCTGTAAAATCAGACTCCATATCGTTTGGAAACAGCCTTATACCCGCCCCAGACTGAAGGGCGTCTACAGTTCCTTCTCCAAAGTCATTGCTGATGTCTTTCCTTCTCGTCATTGTGTTAACACACACCTGGATGCTCTAGAGCAACAAACTGACAAAACTCCTGCTTTCATAGATGTGATCACACTGATGACGATCCATTAATCAATACATTTGATCAGCAGCTCCTGCCTAAAACATTCCCTCTTATATCCTATGGCAGAAGTTTAATAAAACATGTGTTTTTGTACACTTGAGGTTACATTTGAATCATTTTAGAACCCGTTATTGTTCGTACGTATTGATATGGGAAAGCCTGGGATTGAAAAAACAATATTTTTACTAAATAATCACTCAAGGCTTATATTTATTTATCAATAATACAAAAACAGACTGAATAAGATGGAGAGGAGGGCTTCACCTCTCTGTAAGACTGTTAGAACAATAGATCTTCAAAGTGTCATGTTCATTAAAAGAGAGCGAATAACTTGAGGCGTCTGTAAAATGGAAACATAATTTGCAGACCTCTGTGCAGGCGCTCGGGCAGTGCTGTACCAGACTGGACTCAGGAGCATCTTTAGAAAACCACTGCCAGGAAACACAACAAGCCACTGTCTCCATGACACGTGGATCTAAAAGGAAGGAAAGATCCAGAAGTCTCTGAGTCCACAACTGTCATGAGAAGAAGTCACACGGTGACTGAACGCTGCAGCGGCACAAACAGGGAAGAGAAGAAACGATCATTAAATACGATCCAGCACAACCTGGTGCGTGAAGAACAAAGACCAAGAAACAGTGAAAACCCTTGGACTTCAGGAAAAAGGGGAGACTGGTTACATAAATAAAACAGAGTGAAAGACAAGAAAGAGGCACAAAGTGGACACAAGTACAAGAACGCCGTCACTACTTTACAAAACATCTGAACCAGGCCAGGATTTCAGGATTCCTTACAGCATGACACAAAATCAGCTGATCCGTTCCTGCAGGAAATGTTCAAGTTCATCAGACATGATTTCACGACACGTCCCCTCCAACAGTGGGCAGTAAGGAACCACAAGAACTAACAGGATCACTCCATGTACTAATAATCAATTCTTCGATCAAAAGGGCTCTGGCTTGATGACACGCAACATTTAATTTAACTAAAGTTTTAGGAGTTTATCTGCTGTATGTAGAGAAACATTAGCAGATAAACTAAGCTTCGTTCATGGGATCTATTTGTGATCATGTAGAGCAGGGCTATTCAAGTAAACTGCTCAGGGGCCGGACATGCAGCAGTTATTGTCATTAAGAAAGTTTGTTTCACGGTTTAAAATCTAGTTTTATTTAACATGAACCCACTCGTGGGCCGGACTGAGTTCATCTGTGGGCCTGATTTGGCCTCCGGGCCGCCAGTTGAATATCCCTGATGTAGAGTACATGTTCACAAGTAGATCCCATGAATGAAGGTTAGTCAGACGCAGGCACCAAAAAACAAACAACAAAAAGACATAAAAACTGGACTTTCTATTTTAGCTGTAATACGTTCAGTTATTTATATAGACACATGACATGAATTACTATTGTTGAGAAAGTTTAGAACAAAAGTTCAGATTTGAAAAGACACATCACACATGGTGCAAAATAATTAAAAACCACACAGAAGTGTTAATTTTAAGTTTTCTTACTGCACAGACCCTCATTTTGTCTAGTTTGCTTCAAGTTGTTGCATTAGTGCGAGGATTGTTAAACTCTTATTATTTATCGAAGTGTACACAACTAAAAAAATTCTTAACATACAATTGCTCCTCGTGTGTCTTTTACCTCAAGTTGCCTGTTGCAGAACATTGCTTCCCGTGCGTTCGTCTGTTCTATTAGCAAAATATCTCGTAACCGACTGGATGAGTTGAATTACCAGTACAAAGTAATCACTGGATGTCCGTCTATAGCTGGTTCACCCAATTCAAGATGGCCGCCACAGCCTTGAAAACACAAAAATGTCCGTAACTCGGCTAAGTTCACAACTAAATCTTGGTGTGGTAGTTGGGCATCAACCCTCAACACACACTTTGAGCTCAACACAGTTGTGCCAAGTGCTGGAGGAGTCAACCCTGTCCGTTAGCAAAATATTTCATGAACCACTAGGCAATGTCAATGAAAACAGTAAGTCAATCAAATTCAAGATGGCCACCACAGCTCATTGACTTAATTCTCCATTAAATAATAATAATAATAATAATATCGTGTTAGATATTATCGTCATTGTATGTTCCCATACAACGGTGAAATTGGCTCTCTGCTTAAATGGCTCTACCTCTGAAATCTACCAATATGGAGCTAAAATCTGGGGTGGTAGTCGCTGAGGGTCATGCACACCACATGATCCAAGAGATAACAGATCAAGCAGACCAAAACAACAAGACAATGGTAATTTGTTGGCTTTTATTTGTGCAGAAATACTGATTGACTGTGGTGCACAGAGTAAAGATGAGCCTGCAATCGGAAGGTTGCCGGTTCCATCTGCTGGCCCAGACGACATCAAAATGTGGGTGGGAAAGGTGAAGCACCCACACCTGCCTCCACCTTCATTGGCCCCATTCTGGGCCCTTGATCAAGGCTCTTAACCCCACCTGTTCTCCCAGGCACCCTAGACGCAGCTCTCTGCTCCACACTGAGGGGTGTGGTAGCTCGGTGGTCTGTGGTTGCTTCAGGAAGGACATCTGACGTAAAAACAATTGTCTTCGAAAACAGCTGAAAGAAAAAAAAACGGATTGACTGTTAATAATAAACCTATGCGACACAGAAACATTATTATTCTGTATAAACTGAGTCTTAAAGTTTAAATCCACCAAGCACAAAGCAAGGGGAACCTCAACACACGCTCTAGGCTTGACGTCATTGTCTGTAAGGCTTATGATTGGATGTGGATTAAAGGGGGAACACCTTGTCCTGTTTCGACTTTTTTCAGCGTCCACATGGCGACCACCTCACTCTCCAAGGTCGCTGCCTAAACTACACACTGGACTTCTTTCCCCCTTGAATTTATAACGCTGTTTGTTCTGGACGCTGCCGTTTATCGCACAATAAACACTTTACAGTCGAGAAAAACAAAAGCGCGTCCCTCCGTTTCTCTGCTACTGTAAAACAGTGCGCCCTACTGTCTCCATTGCGCATGACTGTACGTCGTCTAATATGAAGTAGGCCTCCTGTTTTTCTCCTCAGCCCGAAGTCCTCCCGACCCCCACCGCCTCCATGTGACGCTCACGTCGGCAAAGCGCGCAGGCTGCTGTCGAAGTGTTCGCGAAGGTAAATGTCTTGTTTTGTCCCTGCGCGCGCAGAGCGAGCTGCGTGTTCGGGAAACGGCGCGAGTCGTCGCGAGCGAGCGAGCGGTGTTTTCGTTGTCGCGTGCGGAAGCGCTCGCACTGCAGCGCAGGCTCCGGGACTGTTTCCGCACGCTTCAAGGCCCAGTGACCCACATTCAGAGAGCTCTGCCAGTTCTCACTGTGCGTACCACTGCGCGTGCGCGTGTCCTCCTCAACGCTTGTGTGAGTGTGTGTGTGTGTGTGTGTGTGTGTGTACATCTGCCGCGAAAATGTGTCCACCATCGCTGCTTTGGGACGTTTCTCACGCGCGCTGATGTTTTTCTGTTTTTTTTTTTATTTGTCCGGGACGTTTCGCCTCCTCGTGCCCGCTCGCGACTCGACGGTTATATTTCTGGAGATTTGTTTTGTCTTCAATGTCAGTTGTTGCGTGACAGCTCCAGGCGCGGCGCCAGCTCCCGGTGATAGACGCTGATTTTTGCCGTTCGTTTCACGGACGAGAGTCGCTCCTGTCGGTCCGAGCAGCAGCTTCTGTTCGCCGGGGCAGCGGCAGGACGGCGGCGGCAGTAAGAGCATTACAGCTCCAAGTTAAAAGGACACTTTTCGGTCGACAGCTTAGTTAGCTTCAGGATGCTAGCCGGCTAGTATATGGGTTGCTCGCTTATGGTTGTATAACAACACCTGTGGCATTCAAAGGTATGTTTACTGAGCCTCTCTGATACAACTAATTATCTTTTTTTTGTCCGAAAACGCTACAGCTTGGCCTTATTGCTAAAATAAATGTTAATTCGTAATGGTGTTGCTTAGCTAAAGTGAGCAGCGAGGTTTAGCATCCCCCAAATACAGCTCCAAAGAGCTCCTGAAGGCTGTTTAATCAGCTATACGTGTAAATTATTTAAGTTTAATGTTTGACAGCGTTATCTATAGGTTTTACAGTGAACCTGACCTCCCTCCCACGCTCTTTGTCTTTAATTAAGCAGAGGTTTTCAAAGGGACAGGGGGTTCTCCAAACACCCATTCAATGAATGGAGGGGATGTTAAATATAGCAGCTGTTCGTCAGCAAAAATACTTGAAGCTTCATGTTTTCATAGATCAGACCTGATCCGTCTGTTCTTCCTCATTTTAAGTTACAAACTACTACATACTTAAGGCCTTTGAATGACCTAAATATGATAAATCTCTACAGTAACTGTTTCCAAAAGTGAATGCTAGTGAAGGGTTTCAAACTACTTGTACATATACTGTTGAAATGATTATAACTTAACGTTCTGTGGCAATATTTAATCAAATCTGCTGTTTCTGAAGTCATTTTGAAGCTGCTGGTGTTTCCTCATAAATGGATGATAACCTTTACTGAAAACAATGACAAGCCTAGATTAAGTACATTTAACCAGGCGAATGTGAACGTAATAACCAAATTGTCATTATCTATAAAAAAAATGTTACTGAATCTACCAGGCAGGGCGACTGCGGAGGCTTTACAGCCTTTCGCAGATGAATTAAAGAATAAAAATATGAATTTAGATACAATATTCCTAGTTTTTCCGTTTTATTTTACAACAAACTAATAAATACTAAAGGAGAGATCAGTTTTGATGTGCCAAACAGTAATATGTGGGTATCTTGGTGTGTAGAGAAAGATAATTTTAACCTATTTATTTCTCAAACTTCATTATATTCCAAGCTTTGAATTGTTATAAAGTCTTTTAGTTTCATTTTCTTACAACAAAAACTGACTCTGAAAGTGGTTATTGGTCATTTAGTGATTTTATTGGTGATCTGTTGTCTGTCAATAGCCTAATAGTTTTTTTTAACAACTCTTTCAGAGTACTTGCTGAGACAGTACGTAGGGTACAACGCTTATAATTCAGATAAGCACGTTTGCTTCAAGCAAAAATGTCAACATTCTCTAGAAGCTTTGTTTGGTTTTGATGTTAAACGCTTTATGGGTCCCAGCCTTTTGTTTATAAAAATATTATACTTGCTTGTGTCCATGGGTAATGTGGGTAAAAGATTGTGTTATTAATTTTACAGCAATGTTTTTCCTCTATGATTTCTAGCAACTTGGCATGAAAATAACTTCTGACGCCGCAGTCATTTGTTCTAATGTATTCTGCACTCCGCTGGTATTTTGCTGCCCGTATGATAAATTAAATTATACACCCATGATAATCTTTTATTTGTCGTGACATTTTCCGTGCATGTTAAACAATGAATGACTCGAGGCGTGCTTGTGAATGAGTCAGGACTCGTGTGTGTTGCAGGTCAGCTGTGGTGTGAAGTTTTGTCACTGCCTGTGAGGCTTAACGTCTAAAACGTAGCTTGGCCTGCAAGAGACATTCCAGACAAGGGTAAGTTTAAAACAGAAAAAGAACGGAGGATTAAAAATTCCAGATGTTTTTCCTCCTCTTACCATTTATTGGTGCGTTAGATTGGAATGTCAAAACTGCAGAAATGGAATAAAACTGTATAAATTAAGGATTTTGACAAAGTAATGTACGTTACTGGTTGGGGACCACTTTAGGCACGAGTGTTTTAGCGTTGTTTGTTTTAATTGATGCAGTTTTGCGTCACATTGTAAAATATTATAAACTAAAGGCCTGGCATTCTTTAAATCACATCACCAGAGTTTTAGACTGAGATTATTTTATGACAAGCGATGGAGTTGTAGCCATTTTGGTTAAACTTAGAAAATAACATTATCCGTGATCTCCTGTGATAAGGTTAGCCATTTTTATGTTGGCTATTATAGATTAGTTGCGGCGGCCATCTTGAACTTGATCATCTCTAAAGTTGTTCTGTTGTAGGTGCGCATTCAACCATTATTTACAAAAAGTTTCATTAAGTTCAGTGGTTTATTGGTTATTTTAATAAGAGATAGACACAGGCAAAAACATAATTGTTCATTTTTGTGTGGCTGCCGTAAAATCTACATTTCTTCAGGAATGACTTGTGTTTATTAGAGCTTGCTAATGGAAAGTTTTTAATGCCTCCAAAAACTGTCTAGCTGTTAAAAATGGAAATTTCTTTGGTGCAATTGTTTTGAGTCGGGGCAGGAAGCTGTAAAAAAGGCAAATTACTAGAACTTTTTATCCAAACCAGTCTGACCTCTTTGTTGTGCTCTGCTTTCTCTTTCAGGTTTGGTCAGCCACCATGTTTTCCCCGTGGTTCGTCGGCCTTTCATGATCCCAATGACCTCAACGTTGCTTTTGAGCAGAGAGTCGGCTCCATCCCTGATCTCTTTCTACAAGCTCTGAAAAAAAGAACATTTTGTGCAAAAGCTGCAGTGGGGTGAGGAATACCCACACACACGCAAACACGTGCTACACTTAAACCTTTCTATTTGATCTTTTTAAAAGTAAATCCAAGTTTTGTTACTTTTTATTTACTACAGCAAAGTCTGAAACATTTTCTCCTTTTCAGACCAAACATTTTCATATGAAATAGTAGGTAAACACGTGTTACACTGACTTCACTGAGCACGGTTCTCCAGGTCTGAATGAGTATGGGGGGAAACTAGAGAAACACTTTCTGAACCAAGCTATGCTGATAGTAAATATTCAAATCTTATAAAGTGGGGTTCATGTACCTGTTGTAGATGACTCTTTAAACCACCTAAATTTGCAGAAACATAATTTAATTCTGAACCAATTCCCAAGCTGCAAATCAGAATGAAGCCAAGATCCAAAGGAAATACTGCTGTCTTAAAACAACTTCAATCCCAAAATGAATTTGTTCGTGCCAATCATTTTTATAAACTTTCAAGTCCATGGTTATTCTGGCAGAAATATATTAATATTCCTGCCCCAAGTACAGCTAGCTGCTGCTGCTCGGACTTGCATATAAGCAGAAAACTTAAAAAATGAAAAACATCCCATAATGCATCACCTTGTAGCGCTACCTTTAACATCAGTAACCAGTAATCATCCTCTGCTGGACTTGATGAGTGTCTCACATGGTTGTGGAGGAATCTTGGTCCTCTCTTCTTTCCATCGTTGCTTCAGCTCGTTGAGGTTTGTTTCTGCACATCTCTCATTGTCCCTTACACCTCAGTCAGGGTGAGGTCTGGACTCTGACTGCACCACTACAACACCTTGGTCCTTTTCTCATCCATTCTGTTGGAGGTCTGCTGTTCTGGTCAGGATCATTGTCTTCATCTTGTGGTTTATTCACATGCAGCTCTGCAGGTGTAAATTCAGTCAGCGTGTTGTTGAAGAGGCCTTTGTTCTGCAACCCTTCCAAACCAGCTGTACTTGTTCAGTCTCTAACTGTCCTGTTGTGACCTTTAACCTCTAACCTGCTAACTGAGGCCTGTTGAGTCTGAGATGGAGCTCCCATTGTTTTGTTGCTGTTTCTCTGAGCATTGCACAGTCTGCCCTTGGGTTGAATTTGCTGGGGAGCCCACTCTTGTGAAGAGTGGCAGCTATTTTATGTTTTCCACCTGAGAATAATCTTTCTCTCTTTAGCATGATAGACTTCTAAATGTTTGGAAATGACCTTTAACCTTTCACAGATTGATGGGCAGCAACACACCTGCACGCTCCAGAAAGTTTCCTGCTGTTACAGATGTGCTCACACTGATGATCGGTTAATCAATACAATTGATCATCAGTGCCTGGCTGAAATATTTCTTTTGAATTCTGTGAAAGCATCAGAGGACTGAGCTTTTTCATTTCCAGCTTGTCCATTGTGTCTTTTCGTTGTGTTTAACTAACAACGTGGCGGGCTCTGTTGTGTTTTTGGACACTTTTTAAGTTTGGTTTGAATAATTGTCAAACCTGGTATGAAACAATTTGTGATGTCATTCTGAAATGTAAAACCTTAGAACTGAAAGATGGTGGACTTTTTTTGTGCCCGAGACTTTCACTAAGCATGTAATGTGAAATTAACAACACTTATCAGTTTAATTTAACAAATGCTTCACACGACACAGACGACAGGTTAGGTGCATCACAATTTATCTGATTTGCTGCTTTTTAAAATTTTACTTTTTCATTTGATTCTCAACATGTGTCAAGATTAAACTATGATTAAGAGCAAACTTATTACTAATACAAAGAATAGTTTTTTTTTAACGGTGTTGTTTCCCACTTACATTTTTTGTGTCCAGGTTTGACTAAACATTTACCACACAGGTTTGTACTGAGACGTTAAAAATCTCCCAAAAATCAACGTAAAAATGCGTACATTTAAATCTATTTTGAAACCGTAAATGAACTTTGACTAAAGGCTCCATACCAAAATAGAGCAGAAAGTCTTTAATATTGTTATTAACACTCATACAAATACTGTTAGATGTCAGGATTACTTCCTTATTAGAGAGTTATTGTTATCGTGCACAGAGGAGCACTTGTTCTTTTGCATGCTACGGCAAAGACTTTGAAACAAGTTCTGATTTAAAAGACAAATTTTGAAACAATGTTTTCAGGTTTTAATGAAACGTGTGTTTTGTTTTTACACCACAGGCACATGTAGTAAAACGGATTATTTTTTCCAAGCGTGCAATCCCTTGTCTTCTCCGAGCGGCCAGTTTATTTGTGTATGGCGTAAGGTGCTCGACTCCACCCTCGTCTTTATCAAGGTCCGCCTGTTTTGAGATCGGTTGCACTCTGTAACCCTGCCAGCACGTTATTACTGTGTGAGAGTGCATACATCAAATAGCCTCACACCAACACATACCAAGCTGATTACTCGTCAGGCAGTTTGTCATAATTAGCGTTTGTGTCGTTACAAATTTGTTACAAAGTAAAGGTCTTTTCTGACATCCACCTTTTATCAAACCTCCAGATGTTTCATCATCGATCACAGTAAACTTATGTTGGTCTGTCTGTGTCTGCAGGTGCTCTTCCAAATGTCTACCTCACGCCTAAAGGACAAATCACTGCAGCCACAGCCCTGATCAGCCGCCGCCATGACATCAAGTATAGGGTATGCAGAGGGCTGCAGAGCTCCATCAAAATGCCATCCACATGACGTGCACATTTATTATACACAGATTGTCAAGCTGTGCGTATTTATACCACCATGAAGCTAACAATGGGGCTTTTTTTTTTTTTTCCATCAAATGCTCCAAACTTTTTACAACATGTTTTTATAATAGTTTATCCCAAATATTCAACAAGAAACGTCAGTATCAGTTTCATATTGCGCACATCAGTTCAGATGAAAGTATGCAAGCACTGATGGGAACACCCTTTCTGGCAAATATGACACATTCCTGTTTTATTGTTTTTATTTTTTTTGTGTTCTTCTTACGCTCACTTTCACAATTTGTTTTTCCCATGGGACCCAAAAATAAACCACCCACTGGCATGTATTAAGGAGGCTTTTTTTTTTTACTCTAACCTATCTTTATTTAATTATCATCCATTATTTGGTATTAGCAGTCCATGTATGTTTGCTAGCTGCCTGCCGAGCACAGTGACACAGGAAAACAGTAAGGAGAAACTCTTGATGTCTAACTTTTTCTGCCCCCCCGTAGGGATGATTGTAGCCTCTTTGATGGGTTGATGGAAGAAGATGAGAAGGACAAGGCGAAACGGTAAGCTACACGCAACAGTTAAAGGCCTGGCAGTCCTTGATGCAGCGCGTATCACCAGCTGGCTTTCAGGCCAGAGTTTCAAAATAAAAATATCTAATGTGGAGAAATGATGGAGTTGTAGCTGTTTTAAGGCAAACCTTGAAAATAACGTGATGTACAATCTCATAGTAAACGGTGTCATGCTCAGAGTATGTGTTGTGAATGACTCTCAGCTACTGCATCAAATTTTAGCTCAGCATCTATGAAATTAACTGAGTCGTAGCCATTTTTAAGGTCATGAGGTGGTGACCGACATCTTAAATCAGGTTAACTCCAAAATTTAATCACATGTACACCCAGTGTTTACTATCTGAAGGTTTCATTCAAATTGGTCATGAGATATTTTGCTAACAGACACAAATACACATGCGCACTGACAAAAACATTATAACTTTCTGCTTAAAGGTGAAGATGGGCAATGATTTGTATACTAGAGTGCAGTTTTTACTAAATGTTAATGTTTTCCAGCGATAGCTTTGACTGTGCCAAACTACATGGATGATGTGCCGTACTGTCTGTACTGTACAGTAATAATATAAACCATTGGTTGTTTGACTTGAGTGTTTTCAAGGTCACATGAAAGATCTGTATTGGTTTGGGTTGCAGTGTGTCTCGTAATAAGTCAGAGAAGAAAAGGAGAGACCAGTTCAATGTCCTCATCAAGGAGCTCGGCACCATGTTGCCAGGCAACACCAGGAAGATGGACAAGTCCACCATCCTGCAGAAAAGCATCGACTTCCTGTGTAAACACAAAGGTCAGGGGTTTTCATCGTCCTCACGCCACTTTCTGTGTTCATGCTGGTTAGAGTTTTCTGCCTTGAAGTTTAATTTTCACTTCAGCGCATGCTGCTGTCAGAGCCTTTATCTTTGTCAGTAAAACTTTGTAAGATGATATGGTGCAGCTTTTATGAGCCATGTACGTCGAGTAGTATTTGATTAATCTTTTTGTCATTTATTCCAACAGTAAACGCATCATGTTCTTCTTGTCATTTTCTTAAAAAGATCTTTATTTTGTGGTTCGATCTTTCCAGTAAGTTGTTTCTCCTTCAGCAGAAATTGCAGCCCAGTCGGAGTCGAGTGAGATCAGGCAGGACTGGAAGCCTCCATTTCTTAGCAACGAGGAGTTCACCCAACTCATGCTGGAGGTCAGAAATGTCACAGTTTGTCCTCTTCTATCCGTTAGCTTACCACAGCAGCATTATACCCACTAATACTGTACATCCAGGCTTTGCATAAAAGTGAACGCATTTGTGGACTTGACAGATTTATTTTCTTCATCTAATTAGGAAGCTGTCAGTCGTAGTTTTGTTGTTATAATGATTTCAAATATTTTCTGTCAGGCAAAAAATGTTGCTACAACTCTTCATTTTGTCTTGTTCTCCTGCTGGAAAACAACCTCTCACTGTTCTTTTGTTCTCTTTTCTCAGGCTTTGGATGGGTTCTTTATAGCAATAATGACTGACGGGAACATCCTTTATGTTTCGGAGAGTGTCACTTCATTACTAGAACACCTACCGGTAAATAACTTATTACTGTTCGTTATAAATTAGGGTTCAGCTCTGTCCCAGAACACACTGCCTGGCCAAAATAAAAGGTCGCCACCTGGATTTAACTCAGCAAATGGGTACGAGCCTCCTGTTGGATAATTACTTATCTTTATCTTTCAGCTGCAACAAGTTGTTTAACCCCAACTGGTGCAATGAGTTGTTTCTCATTTCTTTAACAACCATGTGGAAAGAGACATCGCGTGGTCGTGGAAAAGATGTTGGTCTGTTTGAGAAGGGTCAAATCATTGGCATCAAGCAGAGAAAACATCGAAGGAGATGCAGAAACTACTAAAATTGGGTTAAAAACTGTCCAACACATTTTTCAGTCAGGTCATCTGGACAGTACACAAAAAAAGAAACTGTCCAGATGACTTGACTGAAAAATGTTGGATTGTATACCTGGATTATTGAGCATGGACTTTGTTGTGTCCAACACATTATTAAAAACTGGAATTATAGTGGGGACCCATCGTCTTCGAGGAAGAAATGTGGCCGGAAAAAAATCCTGAATGATCGTGATCGACGCTCACTTAAACGTTTGAAATCAAATGGAAGAAAAACAACAGTAACACTCAGGGCTGTGTTTAATAGTGAAAGTAAGAACATTTCCACACGCACAATGTGAAGGAACTCAAGGGATTGGGACCGAACAGCTGTGTAGTCTTAAGAAAATCACTAATCAGTGAGGCTAACTGGGAAAAAAAAATGCTTCAATTTGCTAGGGAGCATAAAGATTGGACTCTGGAGCAATGGAAGAAGGTCATGTGGTCTGATGAGTCCAGATTGACCCAGTTCCAGAGTGATGGGTGCATCAGGGTAAGAAGAGAGGCAGGTGAAGTGATGCACCCCTCATGCCTAGTGCCTAGTCATCAATGCAAGATCTTGGTGAAAAATGAATGCAACACTGGATGGAAATAGACCTTGTGACATTGAAGAAGCTTATTGAAACAAGGTCACAGTGAATGCAGCTGTAATTAAAGCTAAAGGCGGTCCAATGAAATATTAGTGTGTGACCTTTTTTTTTTTTTGGCCAGGTAGTGTAAATTCTAACCCAGTTTGTCTCTGTATGAGTGAAAGGGTTCAAATTAAATGTGTAAAGAAGATGCATGTGCACATAAATGTTTTGACTCTCTGTGTTTTCATGTCTGGATGTGTGTGTTTCCCAGGCCGACTTGGTGGACCAGAACCTGTTGAACTTCCTGCCGGTTGGGGAACACTCTGAAGTGTACAAGGCTCTGTCCACACACCCCACTGACGCAGAGAGCCTTAGTACTGACTATATGAAGAGTAAGTGTCACCGTCATTTTGTTCTTAACTTACAGCTTCTCTGAAACAATTTAATAGTCCTCTACATGACATGTTTTACTTCTAAGCTTTTGTTTTGTTCTAGCTAAGAATCATTTGGAGTTCTGCTGTCATATGCTGCGCGGGGCCATTGACCCTAAAGAACTACCCCCTGTCTATGAGTACGTTAAGTTCATTGGAAATTTCAAGTCTCTCAATAATGGTGAGTCACATGTTGGTCATTTATTTACACTGTTGTGCATATCAGTCTTAGACGTTTAAAATCAGATTTAAAAAAGTGGGTGTTGAGGGTTTTATCAGTTAAATAAAAAAAAAAACTGTTTTATAAAATGACACAGTTCAAACACTTATTTAATCTGGCCATTTTAAAATGGGGTTCTGTGAAAAATCATAACTTCCCAGTTGCAGATGGTAGGAATGGGCATTTCAAGCAAATGTACTCTTTAAATTTGTTGGTCAATAATTGATTTTTCTTCAAATACGGGCCCTCCACTGCCCAATCTCTTTTGTACACATACACACATGCCTTGTCTACCAACCATCCCCACTCCACACACACGCACACACACATACACACACACTGAGCTACAACTATTCAGGCATTTCACACAGCGTGTTTATTTAATCTTTTACTCAGTGCAAGCATCAGCACACCACCACCCTGTTGGGTTGTGCTGACAGTAAATTTAAAAAATGCTGAGCTGAACTAAGCTATTGTATATTTCTCTATTCAATTACATGTTATACATGATATTAAAATAAATATCATTATTGAGGCTAATTTAAGTACAAACTTCATGATTTAGGGCTTTTGCCCGTCTTGTTTCAGTTTAAAAATGTCCATATCCATGGCGTTTGGTGAACGCTGGTGAAAAACCTGATGGAGCCGAGGTGCACCACGTATGCCACTGCTAATTCTGCTAGCAGGGGATATCTGTTCCCTCATGTTGACCAGTTCACTGGATCATCGTTGAGAAGTGTTTACGTATTCTGAATGTTAAGCTTTAGCTCACTTGTGGCTGTAGTTTCCACTTTGTAATCCTTTCAAAATAAAACTACTGTGGAAAAAACAGCCGTGTATCACTTTGGGTGTGAGTGGGGGAGGGTGTAATGTTAAAAATAGTACCCTGTCTGAGAAAGCACGGTGGTGGTTGTGATACGACTTGGCACATTACAACAATTCTGCAGTACAAGGTTGTTAATATCGATTTCAGTGGTTGTTTACAAGTGCAAATGGAAATAAGAAAGCACTTCTGGTGCAGCCTGGGGTCAGTTTCAGCTGGAACTTCACAGTATTCCTGCTGAAATAAACATGCAATGCCGAACTGACGGGTAAAGTTTTGTTAAACTGCTGAGAAATGACTGAGACTGTAGCCGTTTTAAGATGGCAGTAATCCACTTTGGTCTAGTCTGTTGGGATTAGCTGCTAGCGTTTCAGTCCTTACTAACATAAATGCTAATTTTTCTAAGCAAAGGTAATCCAAAGAGTTGTCTACAACTGGAAGGATGTGAATTCATCGTAACTTTTTCCACTAAATGACCTGAACGCTTAAAGTCCCACCTGTCTTGGCAGAAGTTATTCCCTGCTCTAAATTCAAGAGCTGAGAGCCGTATCATGTTTTCCTTTAATCACAAAACTAACAAGTGTTCTGTGTTGTGCAGTTCCCAACGTTGCGAGGAATGGTTTGGCGGGGGTGTTGCAGCGGTCGCTGCAGCCTGCCTTCGATGACCAGGTGTGCTTTGTGGCCACAGTTCGACTGGCCAAACCCCAGTTCATCAAGGTATCAGCAAAACTTGTTCACTTTAGTAACGTTTTTTTCTTTAAAGTGTCTGCGCTCAAAGTTGTACGTTTGCTTTTGTGTTTGTAGGAAATGTGTACAGTAGAGGAGCCAAATGAAGAATTTACCTCGAGGCACAGTCTAGAGTGGAAATTTCTCTTCTTGGACCATAGGTACGTTGTCACACTCAAACTGTGCTTTGCTCCTTAAGCTACAAATATTCTTTCTGAACTGTTAGGGAGTAAATCACTCTTCCACTCAAAAAAACAAACAAACAAAAAAAAAAACGTTCAATACAAAAAAATCACTCCTCCACACAACTTGTTCAAAATTATTTCAAGTACAACAGTGTTTAATCCAAACTTTATCTAATTATTGTCTGAGACATGGCATGAAGAACACAGATCTGTATGCTACTGTCAGCTTTTGTTGTAAATAACTTGTTTTGTCCTGTTTTTATCACTAACATTGAAGTTATTTTTCATTTGTCTTGACGTTCCACACAAACGGCATGTCATGTGACTCCCATGATTGCATCAAGATGGGAAAGCATCCATACCCTGGCTGTTTTTGTTTAGCTAACAAAGTGTAGTTCTCAGTTGAATGTTCTTTATTTTAAAAACTACAAAAATCACTCTGGAGTCAGGGACCCTGTTCACTCTTGGTTCATCACAGTCTTTAGCAACTCTCTTTAAATTATAAAGCATTAACTACATGCGTAGAGAACATTTTCATTGGATTGCCTTTGGATGGGGTCTGGACTTTTTTATTTAGGGGTCTGAACGCAGTCTGTCCTGAACTCTTAAGATCTAAGATGAGTCAGATCTACTGACCTGACACGACCCCACACAAGCAGCTTAGCGTACTTAAATATTTTAGAGTATAAATTATAAAAAAGGGTAAAAATTGTGAAAACAAAAAGTTTACTTGCAACATTTGGGAAAAACTTCACAGCTCAAAAGTTGGTGTGACATCACACTGAATATGATAAAACTTTGTTAATATTATAAAATATAAAAAATATCAAATCTACTGGGGTTGTGTAAAAACCATTAATCCGTCAAAAAGCCAGTTCAGTCGAGTAAAGCCCAACTTTCCTTGACCTGTTTTAACTTTGTTTCCTCTGTGAAGTCAACAGTATCTGAGCTGTACAGGGCTGGATTTATCTCTTAAATCTTGTTTTATTTGTTTATTTTATTTATTTATTTTGCAAATTTCGTCTACGTCGTATGAAGTAATGCCACAAAATGTCCAAGCACCATTCTAGATTGAGCCCCGTGTTTTTATATCTTTTCCTTTTTAAAGCTGTGGGAGGAGAAACGAATCAAAAATTGTGACATAAACAGAATACTTGGGGGTGGGGGGTGTTTTGGTGTATTTGCATTCTTAATTAGTTATTAATAAAAACATTTGAGTTTTTTTTACTTTAACATAGTTTTTCTTGTCTGATTTATCCTGCTTTTTTGACCTGCTTTTTTATTAATATTTTATTTAGAGCTCCACCAATAATAGGCTACCTGCCTTTTGAGGTGCTGGGAACATCAGGGTATGACTATTACCACGTGGATGACCTGGAGACTCTGGCCAAATGTCACGAACACTGTGAGGCTCTTTGGTTTTCACTTGAAGTCGAGATTCTGTGTAAGCGTCTTGTTTTCTTCTGCCTGTTGTATAATCCTTACTGTGCCCATGTCCTTGTCAGTGATGCAGTACGGTAAAGGGAAGTCGTGTTACTACCGTTTCCTGACCAAAGGTCAACAGTGGATCTGGTTGCAGACGCATTACTACATCACGTATCATCAGTGGAACTCTCGGCCCGAGTTCATCGTCTGCACACACACAGTCGTCAGGTACGCTCTGACACGTCTCATCTTCACACTTTTGTTCTGAGAGTCTGTGACGAAGTGAGACTCAAAGCAGTCTGCTCCTCTGATAAATAACGTTATTAACTTACTTTTTATATATGAATGTTTCTGTTGTGACTTGGTGCTATATAAATAAACTGAATTGAATTTTGCTAATAAGTTTTTTTTTCTTTGTGCACAACTAATTTATTCCATCCCATCTTTTGTACATATTGGCTTTTGTTCCTAAAATCTGTTTATTTCTGTTGTGTAAAACGCAGCTATGCAGAAGTAAGAGCAGAGCAGCGCAGAGAGCTGGGCATTGTCGAGTCTAATCCAGAGCCACCCAATGACAAGGTGAGGCACAACTTCTACACGTGGCGTCTTCAACTCCCACAAGCTTATTTGTGAAAAGAGGCACAAGCAGTCCAGTATGGGAACTAAATTCACATAGTACTAGTAATAATACTAGTAATAGTACTTGCTCAATGTTCTATAGCCTGTCAGGCACAAAGTGGTATAATGTCATAATGTCACTGCTGATCAACCATCATCAGCGTTGCGTGGAAAACCTTCCATAAATGACTGAAGTTCATCAGATCTTACAAATATCACCACCCAGTGGACGGGTGGGTCAAACACAGACGTAAAGTCAACCTACTTCTTTCTGCTCGTCTGTCTAATGTTGAAATTACAGTAAACTAATTAATTGTCCTTTAAGGTGAGTTAGTCAGTATTTGCTGAAGTGTTTAAATCTTTTACTTCACTCAAAAAACTATGGAAATTTAGTCCAAAGCATAATCCTGCTTTAGTAAATGTACAAGTCTTGCACATAACTGATGTCGTTTTTTTTTAATAAAAACCTATACACATGTACATCATGACACAGTTCATCATTTAAATCCTCTCTGCAGCTGACTTGAAGCCACAAGTCTCATTTTATTTTCCCTCTCTGTTCAGAGATGCAAAAAAGGACAATTTGTGCAAAATGCGACGTAAAACCTTTTATGTACAACACCGTTATTTTCAGTTTTGCACTAGTCGTTTATCATTTTGTTTTTATCCTAAAGGTCGTTTGAAAAAAATAAAATAAAAATGAATTGACGAGATGTTGCTGAATGTTCTCCACAGTTCACATCAGCTAAACCCTAACCCAGTTTTTAGGACGTGGGGATAAGTAAATACCTGCAGTCTATAACTGGGGCCACTCGAGTCAAAAGTCATACAATTTCTGTAATTTATGAAAAATATTTTCATAACTAAATTTGTTAAACAGGTTTGTCTGTATCTTCTACAGCACGTGTGTAAATGATGTGCAGCGACCACAGGAATCTGAGTCAGATGGGCTTTTAAAATTTTTTTAAATTATTTCACCTTTAAATGAGAACATTCCTGGGACGAGAAGCAGAACGTCTAAAAGTAGTCTTCAGCATGCTGGGACTGTCGTGTCCCAAGTGACCTAGAATCTACCAGCATGCTGTCCAGCAGCACATTTATGGATATGTAAAAAATGCTGTGCTCTCCTGGAAATACAGTACGTCTTTGACCCTGCACCAGCCTAAAAGAGCAAGTTTACATTCTCTGCCGTGATCCACCTTCACAGAAGCCCACTAATATTAACACACATGTATGACCAGACTTTATATTCATAAAGAACACTAGATGAGCACATACATATCCTCTGCAGTCTGAAAAAGATGCCCGCTCAGTGACAGTGAAGTACTTTACTGCAGCATCAATGAACGTCCCCGTCTGCTTTAGACTTTTTCTAATCCTTTGGGTGGCTGTGGCTGACTGGTTTGAGCAGTCGTCCTCCAATGGTAGAGTTGGGGGTTCGATTCCACCAGCAGTCCCGTGTTGAAGTGTCCCTGGGCAAGACACTGAACCCCTCGTTGCCTCCGATGTGTGTCCCATCGGTGTATGAATGTGATAAAGCTCTGATTAATCTTTGTATAGATCTAGTGGAGTGCTGTATGAATGGATAAATGAGGCACAGATTGTGGTGTAAAGAGCTTTGAGGATCTTGATAAGATAGAAAGATGATGTACAAGAACACTCCATTTACCATTTAATTGTCTTTGCTTTGAATCCTGGACCTTTGGTCACATGTTGGTCTTGTAGCGTTGTTGAATGTCTGAAATAATGTGTCAGCTGTTTCAGCTGTTTTTGATCTTTCAGGAATCTTTTATTCTAAATTAAATTTTCTTGAATCATACAAACACTCATCCATGTGATATTACGTCTTTCTTTTTTACACATCGGCTGTTATTTTCCTCTGTGTCCAGTTCTTTGAATTTTCTTTTGTTTTTCTATCCCCACACACTTTTCTAGAGTCAGGACTCTGGCTCAGAGTCACAACTCAATACATCCAGCCTGAAAGAAGCTCTGGAAAGATTTGACCGCAGCCGAACCCCCTCAACCTCTTCACGAAGTTCCCACAAGTCCTCATCGCATGTCTCTGACAACACTTGCACCTGTAAGGACACTTGTGTTTGCATTTATTGTCCACACTTTATGTAAATGAGCCTGATCCTGACATGAGGATGAGTCTGTGATGTTTCTGTTGTGTGAAATTACATTAAAGTCAACACAGTTTGACTGTTGGTCATCAATAATTGTCTCAGCAGCAACAGCTCCCAAACTACACATGGAGATGGCCACGCCCCCTCGGCAGTCACTGGCCTCCACCATGGAGATGACATCACAGCGGCGCTCATCTATTAGCAGTCAGGTGAGTCCGGTCTGGCGGGACGTGACACGTAGCAGACCATTGCTTCTGATCTGACTGTTTCATCAACTGGAGAAAGAGTCTGAGCCAAAGCTGTGCCAGAACATGTTCAATCTGAAGGTCTCTTGGGAGCATTTAGTTTAAAACAGGATCAAGGATGATACTGAAGGGAATTGTTCCTGTATTTTACTTTTTCTAACTGAGTTGTTGTATTCTTACAGTCCATGAGCTCTCAGACCACAGGACAGAGTTTAAATCCTGGGATGCTCAATCATCAGCAACAACAACAACAACAGCAACAACAACAACAGCAGCAACAACAACTGCAACAACTGCAACAGACACAGCAGCTTCAGACAAACGTTCAGGTGAGGCTTGTTCAACTACACCTGCATCATGTCAGCGTCATGTCAGCGTCATGTCAGCGTCATGTCAGCATTATGTCAACATCATGTCAGCGTCATGTCAGCGTCATGTCAATGTCATGTCAGCGTCATGTCAACGTCATGTCAGCGTCATGTCAACATCATGTCAGCGTCATGTCAACATCATGTCAGCATCACGTCAGGTGTTTTTGGACGAGATGTTATGGTTTCTCTCTGAGGCTACACGTTTGCCTTCACACCACCAGTGGAGCTCTGAGCTAGTGTAACACTCGGCCGCCATAGTTGGAGCTGTGTGTTGTGGATCTTTGGTTTCATTTTTAAAGAACGTTGCAGAAGGAGTTACAGGAGTCCAGGCTTATATAACTTGCTAAGTTCAGAGCAGACAGTGGTGACAGTTGAATATCTTCTACTTTATCAGTTTTAGTAGCACAGCATGGGCATTTAATTTGCTTGGCCATTTAACAAAAGTGTATGCACAGACCCATCACAGCCCCTTTTGTAATTAAAGAGTCCATATTAAGCTAATAAAGCTCCTGCTCCGAAGCAGGAGCTCAAAAAAGACCTGATAACGTAGATATTAGGACTCCAGACAAAGGCAGCAGACAGCAGATAAAGGCACATTGTGAGATTCTTCTCCCTTTGTGTTGGTTTTGGAGCCGGTGATGGAGTTCTCAGCACAGGTGAACGCTATGCAGCACCTTAAAGATCAGCTGGAGGAGAGGACCAGAAGGATCCAGGCAAACATCCAGCGACAGCAGGAGGAGCTGAGACACATCCAGGAGCAGCTGCAGAGAGTCCAGGGACAGGGCCTACAGGTACCGGTAATTACAACCAGTATATTTATCAAACATACTCATTTTATTCCATAATAGTTTGTTTGAGTTTAGGACGTCCTGCTGTAAGCTGCACTGAAGATGAATGAAATAATTACCTTAAGGCCTAAAACTGTGAGCTGTTTACCCAAATTGTCAAGTTTGCAAAAAAAAAAAAAAAATGTTCAAACACAACTAAAAAACAGTTTTACAGTAGTCCCTTGCTACTTTGCAGTTCTTGTCTTCCAACTTAAAATTCAAAGTATGTCACATCGTAAAATCGTAATCACAAAATATAAAAGTGTTAAAAGTTTTTAAAAATTATTTTAGAACTTTTATGTTCAGTTGTTGAAGTGTAGTTGATCAAGAAGAACATTTCTGCTCTGTGCTGCAGAGCTGAAGCTGTGTGTCATCCTGCTGCCTCTCTGCAATATAAGTTTAAATGCTGTAACATTTTAAATAAACAATCCATGCAGCATGGATTGTTTATTTAAAATGTTACAATATTTAAATTGTAAATTGTTTATTTAAGGAGGGAGATTGGGAGTAACAGGTGATGAGTGTGATTACAGCCTGACACATGTCACGACCAAGTTTACTGAACTTGAACTGAACTTGGACTACTGTCTCCCTACTTCACTGTTTTCACTTATCGCGGGTGGGCGTGGTCCCAAACAAACGTGATAAACGAGGGATTTGTTTAAATGCTAGCTTGCTTCGCTTTTGCCTTTTGGGTTGTTTATTTTATTTGACCTATATCAGGACTAGAATAATGCATTATGAATTATTTGTTCTATTGAAATGGCAAAAATAGACTATGTCAGTATCCCTTAGATACATTTTATTTCACTGGATTATTCTTCTAAAAACATTTTACCTTTAAAAAAAAGAACAAGATAAAGTTTTTCAAGTTTACATGTGGATACTTGAATCCCTGTGGGCTGATGTGTCTAACAGATGTTGCAGCAGCAGCAGGGTGGAGCGATGAACGTTCAGCTCCCTCAGGTGGGCTCGGTCCAGCAAGCGGCTGCTTTGACTGGTCAGCTGCAGCAAGCGGCCATCAACCCCGTCCATTCAGGAGCTCAGCAGCTCACCGTTCAGCAGCAGGCTGCCCCTCAACAGAGCCTACAGCAGCAGACCAACACACTCACACAGGTGGGACACATTCACTTACACACACAAGCAACCTTTATAACAATTCTCCCAGAGTAGTTTAAGTTTGGATCAGGTAAAAATGTCTGCATGTTTCTACACAATGCTTTGATTCTATAAGACGAGACATCTGTGATTTAGTTTAAAGGTGGCAGCAGAGCAGCAAAAGTGATTTATCTTGAATTAAGTCACGCTCTGTTGGCCTTTCTTTGTTTTTTTTAGCCTCAGTGTCAGCAGCCAGCTCAGGCTCAAGCCCCAGGGTCTGTGTCTGCACCGCTCTACAACACCATGATGATCTCCCAGCCTGGACAGCCTAATGTGCTGCAGATCAGCACCAGCCTGCCGCAGAACAACACGCAGCAAGGCACGGCTGTGGCCACCTTCACACAGGACCGACAAATCCGGTAAGAAGGGACAATTTCTCTGTAAAATATTGTTTTTACTAATAATTATTGTCTGAATTTTACAAATGACTGTAATAATAATAATCCACTAATATGATCGTAAATCAATATTCATTTACTCTATTTGATTCTTTCTAGATTTCCTGCAGGGCAGCAGCTGGTGACCAAGCTTGTGACAACTCCGATGCATGCGTGCATGCAGGGTGCCGTCATGGTGCCCACTTCCATGTTCATGGGGCAGGTGGTCACTGCGTACAACCCCTTTGGAGGGCAGCAGGTAAATACACAGCAGTAAAACATACAAGCATGGGGACAAAGAAAGTCTGCCTTCCTTGTGTTCTAGGGGTTTACTATGAAATGGTCCTAAAATTATCCAAATCTAAGCTCGGGTGAACAAAAACATTTTGAACAACAAAGCCAAAATGGACAAGTCCACTCGGCGATTCAACAGGTTGTAGAACCACCTGTTAGCAGCGACAGCTTGAAGTTGTTTCTTGTACAAGTGGTTGTGGGGAGACTTTGTCTGCTTTCTTCATTCCATCGTTGATTCTGTTTATTGAGACGTTTGTCTCTGAACGTCCCACCTCAGCTTTTTAATCAGGTTGGAGTCTGGACTTGGGCTGGACCAATAATGGTCCGGACCTTAGTTCTGTTGGATTTACTGTAGAGATGCAACGATATTGGATTTATGGACGATATGTTAAAACTTATTTGACCGATAACCGATATTTGTAATATACTTTCCTTTGTCAGAACATAGTCCTCTTATTTAGGCTCATTTGCTACAAAAATTGTGCAACAGCTGTAAGAGCTGGTGACATATATTCAGTAACAGCCATATGATATGCAGAGCACTTTAACTTATATTAAATGAAAAGTGTTAAATGTTATTTATTAGCGTTAGCCACCTGCGATGCTGTTTCACTTGTGGAGGCTTGTTCCAGGTTCCTAGCTGCAGTGTGGATCCTCTGCACTCCTGTGCATGAAGGACAGACTTTTTAAGTTCAAAGTTTTTGTCTATCCATTGTGCCGTAAGACTAATCAAGCTAACGAAGTTAACACTTGATGTCTGTGGTTAAACTCACCCACGTGCTATCAGCTATTAGCTTCTCAATGCCGTTGGAAATGACGGCTTGTAACTCGGGTAAAGCTATGTCAGAAAAATATCTCTGACTGTGGACGATGTAGCGTCCTGCTTGTGTTTACCCTCCAGAAGTTTTTGTCAGTTTGTTGCTGCCTCGTCAGCCTTTTTGTTTTTGATTATTTAATCAGTTTAAGTTCATTCAAGATCCTCGTGTTTGCCTGCATCCTGGGTCTCAGCACTACGCGGCTCATCGTAGTCCAAAAATCTTTGGAATCCAATATCTTCAACGAAAAAAAACTTCCACACCGCCGACATTTTGACTTCTTCCTCCGCCGTGATCAGATCAGGTAGGCGCACGTGACGTCATCACGTTGTGCTGGTGCTGCAGGCATCCTTGTCACTGGGTTGTTATACAAAAACAGCACCTTTTTATATCGGTGAGTTATTTTGGTGGAATGGCCTACGTGCAATATTTATCTTTAACGCTAATATCGGCCGATATCGATACCATGCAGATAATATTATGCATCCCTATTTATTGCTGCGTTTTGGATCATCGCTCTGTTGCATCCTGTTTGGTCCAAGCTCCAGCTGTCAGACAGCTGGACTCACATCTGGGTCTAGAGGTCTGACCTGCAGAAGAGTTCACAGTTGACTCAGAGTATGAATGAAGCCCACATCATCACTCCTCCACCGTCGTGTTAGTCGTGTCACTGTGTTTGTGCTGATGCCTCGTTTGTTTTTGTAGACATGTCTCGCTGCATTATGACCAGACGTCTGCTCTCATCTGCCCAAAAGACCTGCAGAGTCTGACATTCTTGGGCTTTTTTCGTTGCTCTTCTCAATTTAAAAAAATTTAGGATGAACTTTGTAAGGAGCCGCTGATGTCCCTTGCTGTGCACGTCAGAGAACTTGTAACTTATTATAAACTCTAACTCGTTAGTCTGGTTAAATCAGTAAATGTTTTGCTTTTTGTTCCCAGAAAAAAAAAGAAAAAACAACCCCAAAACTAATAATGCAAGTGTTTTTTTTTGTTTTTAAGACTTAATGTCAAAATGTTACATTTTGTTGTTGGAGGTCCCTGATACTGAACTAGAACACCGCAGTAAACTAGCCTTGATTTAGTCTAAAAAGATTATGCACCATTCAAGTATAATCAGAGTTGAATATTCTGTCTGGAAACACGATTCTAAACATTTTTTCTGTCTTCTTCGTGTCAGCAGAGCGGGCAGACCCAGACTCTGACGCTGCAGCCGGCCCAACCAGCTCAAGGTCAGCCCGATGGCTCGAACCAAACCGCTGTAGTTGCACAGAGCAGCCAGCAGGGGCAGCAGCAGCAACAGTTCTTACAGGTACAAGTGCAGAGTGCCATTCTAAAAAGGTTTTCGAACATCCATGTGTTTTTATTTAGCTAAGAAGAGACTCATAAAATTTTATAGCTGCTAACAAAATACTATTGATATTTAAAGAAGAATGTAAAACATATTTTTCTGTGCGTACTTCATTGCTGAATGATTTTATTTGATTAAAAAAAGGGTGTTTGGCTTCTTTTTCTAAAACGATTGAACTGTTTTCCTGCCAGGGTACTCGTCTTCTCCATAGTAACCAGTCTGCCCAGCTGATTCTGCAGGCAGCTTTCCCTCTCCAGCAGCAGGGAACGTTCACCCAGGCCACACTTCCACAGCAGCAGCAGCCTCAACAGCAGCAGCAGCAGCGACAGCAGCAGCAGCAACAGTCTCACCATCAGAGGCACCAGCAGCAGCTGAAGCCGCAGCCTCAGAAACCGCAGAAAGCCCCGTCGTCGCACAGGACTGACAGCGTTAACAACCAGCCGCAGTGAGGCCCGGAGGAACACGAGTTCAGGGTGATCGACCGCTGCAGATGTTTGTGACTGTCACAAACATCTTTCCCTCTAAAAACCTTTGCCTCCCCTTCCTTAGTCTAAAAGAAACGAGTTGTAGGAACGAGGAAAGGCTGCGAGCTCAGAACGAACTCGCCAACGAACGTCAGCCCGCTTGTAGGGCGGATAAAGTCTCCATCAGTAACGTGAGGGAGCTTCAGGCTCTGAAAAGACCTGAAAAGATACACTTTATTGCAACAGACTCTGTGAAGGGGTCTCCAAGTGGACTGACCGTGTACAGATTTACTGTATAATAAAAAAGAAAATGTGTAAATATTCAGTATAGCCTAACAGAAAACAGAACCGTAGTATTTTATATGACTGCATGGAAAGAATAACTGTGTAAGCTTTTATTAGTTGCTTTTGACAATTGAATTTTTACTTTTAAGTGGTTTCTGTTTGAAGACAGAGCAGTGAGATGCTCTTTAATATCCCCTCTCCTCCCCACTCTCTTAAGAAACAAGTTCAGAACGAGACTTTAAAGTCTGTCCGTGCGTTAAAGAACAGGTTGGGCTTGGGTGTTTACGTGGAAGCTGCTTTTGAACACTGTGTCTCCAGGACAAAAATTGATTTTTTAAACTTTGTAATTACAAAAATATGTTCGACGAGAAGCTAGATTACAGTTCAACTGAATTATTTGCAGGATTACTCGACATATGACGGGTTTAGTGATTCCAAGTGCCAATAACGTAGTGAATTATGGTTGTTGTTTTTTTTTTAAACCGTAAATATTTTCCAACGAGAAATGTCCCCGTATAAAGTTAATTCGTGTGTATATAGTAGGAATTATTTTTGAACAGTCGGAGAGCCCTAACTAACAGTATATCCTCAACCTCCTGACAACTTCAGCACTTAACGTGGTTGTGTAAAGAAAAATCACTGTTGGAACCTAGTTTTTGTAGTCTGTGGTGTGATTCTGTGAGCTAACGTGTACTTTTTTGAGAATACAATCCTCGTGTGCATGACGGAGCATGAGTGCGCCTGTAGTTTGCGAGCGTGTGCGCGCCGGTTGCCCCTTGTGTCTTAAAACGTTAGACTTAGTAAAAAGGTTTGAAGTTGCTGGATGGTACTTGTCCTCTCAGGAATGTGAAAAGTGTTTTTTCTTCTGCCTCAGTCTGGAGCCAGACCAGGAAGGGTTAGACCGCGATGCTGCAAAGACCAGAGGAACTTGTGTTGTGAGGAGCGCGGCCCCTAAGTGGAAAGATTTGACCTAGATCTTAAAAACAAAAACAAAGAATCGCCTTTTTGTTTCCTTATCAGCGAAGGATCAGAACACAGAAACGAGGTTAAAAATGTGAATAGAGCTGTTCAGAGAAAAACTGGCTTCTGTTTTTCCAGCAAGTTTGGATTTCTACCAACATCTTTCCTGGTCTACTTTGCCATTCACCATTCTTCCTCTTCCTTGGCCCCAGAAATTCAAAAGCAAAACCCTCATGCAGTCGGGTTCGCTCGTTTCTCAGTTCTCAAACCGCAGTTGAAACCAGGACTGGGCCGCGGTCCAGCTGTAAAGACAGTAATGGATCTTGGCTCGGTGTGTGCACGACAGTGATAAGCCATATCAAACTGAAAAGCCTCGGAGTGGAGGAGTGTAATCGCTGGCAGAGGAGCGTTCAGAATGCGAGTGTTGGAAAGATGGCGCGTGTGGGCGCTCGTGTGTGTGTGTGTGTGTGTGTGTGTGTGTGTGTATATACATCTCCTTTCCTTGATCTTGTATCACTCAGGGGCGGGGTCAGTATTGGCGTCCCCCCCTGGAGATAGCCAATCAGTTCTTGCGTTGCAGTATATAAAAATGTAATTTTCCAGCGCGTGCTCCTTGTGTAGGGCCGTGTGTCGTGCGCCTGCGTGGGAGACGGCTCCTCTCGTGTGAGACTTTGCATGTGTGGTACCTGTCACTGTAACCCATTCTATTTTCATATGAAACGATACGTGAGAGCGGAAAAGTATGGATGTTGGGCAATGCAGACCACTGGTTTACTATCAGACTAGAATAAATAAATAGGGGACAGACTCCTAATCAAACACTAATCCTAAGAAGAATTAATAAAAGGTTAAATAGACAATTTTTTCTAGAGTTTGTCCTCAAATAAGAAGTAGAATAAATATTAACAAGGGTCTTCCACCTGTCACATAGCAGATAAAGAGACTATAGTTTTATGTGTCCCTCTAAAGAGTAGTACTGAAATGAATCTATTTTGTGCCACTGATACCCAGCCCAAAGATTGTAAAGGTTGATCTAAAGACTAATGGATGTTGTAACTTTAAATTATGGCTTTGTTATGAAGGAAGGGGACGGAGGCATGTGGAAGAAAATCATTTGCACCACAAGATTCCACGTGCAGAATCTGAAATACAATCCTTTTTTTTTTTTTTTAATTTACTGGTTTTGTATTGTGAGAAATGTTGAATGTTGCACCATTACAGATGTTTAGTTTTCCAATGTGTGTTTTGACATCTGCTCTGGGGAGGAAGAGGGTTTGAAAGCTGTTGAATAGTGATGTCTTGGATAGTTGGGATGGGATGGCATTGATGAGACAAAAAGACAGACAGGCACCCCCTTCCTCCCTGATTTCCACATCAATACACCAACCGTTTCCTTTCTTTTCAAACACCATTTTATTAGAAGACTAGTATAATTCTGTACACAAACACCAAGCTAAAAACACCAGTATTCAGTGTAACATGGTGCTATGCTTACCTGTACTGTACGTATGTATATCCCTTCTTCGCTCAACTGTGCTCCTTTATCTACCCCAAAGTCAAATGTAATAATAATCAATATTTTGAAGCAAAATGTTTGCAAATATAACCCTCCCTGTCCTTTCTTGGTCAACATGAAAATAAAAACAGTTGCAAATATATCATTTGGCACCTTTGCTCTGATTTATTTTAGGTTATGGCGTGTTTTTACCAAGAAAATGTGTTTTTATTTGCAGTATACTCACATGTATAATAAAACAAAACTACTTTTCTTTAGTCAAGTGGTGTGTTGTGTTACTGAGGATTCAACAGAGAAATGAAGCTGTTGCACAAACGGATTGAGTCATGAACTTTTATAGTCCGTTTTATTGGCAGGAGGCTGAACAGATTTTGTTAGCGGTAGAGCAAACAATTTTTACGGTATTATAAAAGTAATTATTTTAATATCCACTACAGAGAAAACCTTATTGGTCTGTCTCTACTTATGTGTGGCGTAAGGAATATTTCCCACATACTCGGGACTTTTTCCTGGCATCTTCATAAAGTCATTGGGTGGACTAGACCCTCTTAATTCTAGAGTTTTATGTAACAGCGTCTAATAAAAGGGATTTAACTGCTTTTAACAGGTTGAAAAAATATTTAACCAAGTGATGAGCAATATCTTGCCATTATTTATTAAACAAAGCCAAAATAAATCTTTGTGTGAAAAGCGAAGTTCATCCTTGCTGTTTCAAGTTCAAGTTTATTTTGTCATTTCCATCACATGTACGAAATGTTACAAAATTATGTACATGGTCCTAGTTACACCCAAAAATAGCAAAATATAAAGTATGAAAAGAAACAGTAAGGATCTAAGATATATATGACAAACAGTACGCTGAAAGAGCTAAGATATACGCTAACACTAATAATGTAAAACAATACGGCGCAACAACAGCAGCACGAACACGAGTCTGGTGAGCAGATGGCTCTGAATGAATACAGCTGCAGGAGATGATCAGCAGCATGAGATAATCAGCAGCATGAGCTCTATTCTTCCATAGAGCTTAAGAAGGAAAGTAGCAGGAAGGCGATGCTATTGTTACTAGAATTAAAGGCTTTCTTTTTCTGTGATTCAGCCATAATCACACGTTACAGGATCATTTGTGCAGCAAAAGACATTCGGTTACAAAAACAGCAACAAAATAAAACTGAAAAAGTGTAAAGTTTTAATATTAACTAATATTGTTCTAATACCCTAATAGTAAACATTAATACCTAATAGTGTTCTTTCACACGTATTTTCTTTTTGAAAAAGTTGTTTTATAATCTTGAAAAAAAAAAACTGCCTCACTTAGCTAAATATTAGCCAAGCAAGGACTTATGCCTCTTTCTCGACCCTCTGTGCTCTGACTGCTGGGAAGGCGCTAACTATTGATAATTATTTAACAGAAAATCACTTTAAAGTTGACTGGACTTTTATAAGCTTGAAGTTATTTCATTTTATTTAATTTCAACTCTTGGTGTTTCATAATCAGTGCAGCTGAGTTTAGTCGCTATTGTGTCGTCAGCAAATTTAAACTGGTTTGTGCTCAATTTAACAATAGTGGTGTTAAAACAGAGTGAACAGTAAAGGACTAAGTACACATCCTTGAGGTACTCCTGGTCTCTTTTGATGGGGTGTGAAGTCTTACTATCAACACAAATTGTTGTTTTCCTGACAGGAAGTCCAACGTCCAGTCACAGAGTGAGGTTTTCGGTCCAAGCCGAGAAAGAGCTTCACTATGAGCTGCAAGTAAACGATGGTGTTAAACGGTATTGCTGTTTGTGGGAATCAATTTTGTTTGGTGACTCCTCAGATTGAAGAAGTTCTTGGGATGAAGGACGAAACGTCTCAGCAAAAAAGAAACCGTCCAGACCTGACTGAACATTGTTGGATTTTTACCTTGCTTATTGAGCATGAATTTAGATGATGGCGTTAAAGGTTTTAATTCTTTTTGGCATAATGAAAACTCTGTCTCCAGCATCAGTTTTGTCATTTCACAAATAAACAACTAAGAAGACAATGGAAACTGGCACCGAGTAGTTGATTTCACCATCACAGGTGCTTTCTTTATTATTACAAGTCAACCATCTGTATCAAAACTGCAAGTACGTATTTCAAAACCAGAGGGCAGAGGTTCTTCTCCATCCATCTTTCCCACATGTAACAGTCAGGGAACAATGCATCCATTGTTAACAAAACAAACATCTAAAGGCACGTCTCTATTATATTTACATTGCATACATGTGACAACAAAAAGCACACAATCAGTCCTAAAATCTTGGCCTTTGCTAAAGGGATCATCCATGATAAACATACAGCAATGAACCAGTTATTCACAGTATTTGCAGCTACAACACGCAGGTGGGAATCAGTGTTTATGTAACTTATGGCTTTAAGTTGATTTGATTTCTATTCTGGATAACTGCTTACATGCTGTTTTTATGGCTCACTGGTTTCAGGTTAAAGACACTGTTCAAAGGCCTATTTACAAAAATCTCTTACAAATCCAGTGAAAATGACCAGTTTAGGATGTGATGTTTTGGATAATAATGTTTGCCAAAAGAAAGATAAAAAAAAAAAATTCCCAAGATCTCAAATCCAGTCCTGTACAATGCAAAGGGTATTTTCCACAAAATGTAGACTCTAGTGATGAGCACCGCTCATTTATTCCACACTCAGACATCATTTTGCCTTTGTCATGTATATGTACATGTACTTTCATCTTTATTTGTCCCCAAAGCATCTTAAGATGTAATGTAAGGCTGAGTGTGAGCCAGCCCTCCTCCTCTCATGGCTCACGATGGTGTATCTGATGGCCTGTTAGTGCTGGAGTTTGCTTTATATAGACGTGCACCTGAAATACCTACCACAGAGATCGATACAGCAATGAGTAGTTAGAGGCTGAGTGCTCGTATGTACAGTGTGTGAGCCGCAGGAGGGCCAGCATTTAGGATTTACTTTAAAAAGATAATGCTGTTCAGAATGAAGCGAGGTGTGTGTGTTTGTGTGTGTGTGTGTGTTAGACGTAGTCCAGGAAGACATCAACTGTATTCTGCAGCAGAGGCTGCGTTGGGGCCGTGGTACTGCAGACTGAGCTCAGCCGTCGTGATGGTGCCCTCTGCTGCTCTGAAGCACCTGGAGTGTTGCTCAGCCTTAAGTACACCTGAAGGATAACACACACACAGCCACAAAATCAGTTACATGTGCACCTTCTCAGTCCAAAACACAAAATATTTAAGAAAAAATAAAGGCCTAGCATTCCTTGAAGGAATGCATATCATCCGCTGAAAGTAAGTGTTTCATTTTTGCTGCTTACGTTCTTGGTATTTTCAGAGAGCAGCAGTTCGGTTCTCTCCACCAGTTTCCTAAAGGAAGGCCTTTTTAAAGGGTCGTGGTTCCAGCAGGACAGCATCATGTCGTACCTGCAGAGGCGAGACCAGTATTAGTTTTCACCCCTGAGCAGGTCAAGTGCCTACAGATAACACACACATTCACTGAAAACATTTGATGAACACATTTAATATCAGTTCAGGTAAAGTCAACATGAAGCCTTAGAGTTCCATGGGTTATATTTTTATTTGGGTTTGTCGTTAATCAGAAGGGCCGCAAAGTGTAAACGTATAAAATAAACATTTCTTTTGACGTGAATATTAACCCATACAATGTACAATAATACAGATGTGCTAAAATATTGCTTGAATATTTGAATAAAGCTTTCTGCAGTTAAAGTAACAATTAATTTTCCCATTAATTAATTAAACATCTTGAACAACTGAATTTGGAAAAAGAAGTTTTATACAAAACATGTTGGGTTATTTACAGTCAAGCTTTCTGTTTACAAGAAGAACAGCAATAAGTAAATGTTCAGTGGATTATTCTTTTAAGCTATTTTGCTATTAAATCAAATTTTAACCTTTTTTAGGCAAATAATTTATTATTTTGTCAGGGGGTTTAACCGCTTAATAATATAAACTAAAACTAAGATAACTTTTTTTTAAGATTTCAAGGTCAAGTCAAGGTTTCTTTATTTGTCATACACACCTCATGTGGTACATGTGGTGGAACAAAATTGTGTGCACAGGGTCCCAGTTACATCCAACAAAAGTATTAACATGTAAAGAAAAGCAGTAATAAGATCTAAGATATGAACTAAGAAATACAATAAACTAAGAATACACTAAGCACTAGTAGTAGAAAAAAACATGCCGAACAACAGCAGCACGAACATGAGTCTGTGTGAGCAGATGAGCATGCATGAATACAGCAGCATCAATAAATCAGCAGCATGAGATCAGCAGCACACATCAACAGTCAAGTGGCATTACAGTGATTTTTTTGTTCACAGTGATTATCCTGATTAGGGATTCATGAGTCTATCTCATTGCAGATAGAAACGCAGAGTAAAAAGTCAGCATCAACCATTAATCATAAAAAAATAATTCTTGTACTGTAAGAAAACGAGTCTGATGGGTCACACATGAACTCTCACACGCGTGTGATGTTAAGCTAAGAACAAGAGACACGTTTAAAAATCCTTCACTCGCAGCTTTGAAGAGCCACTTCAGAGTCAGTGAGGGTTTGGTTGTGCACTCTGATGAGGAACTGTCAGCCCTACAGCACACATGCGATATACTCTGTGATACATAGCTTTAGTAAAAGGTGGGGAAACTGTGGGAAGGAAAAGATGGCAGCTACAACTTTGGAAAATCAGAAACAAATGAAAATCAGGAATTTAAAATGTGGTTTAGTCGAAATCGTTAAAAATGTCAAAACACCAGTTCTGTCACACAAAGCCCAACAGTTTTTGACCCGTTTAAACGTTTCAAAATGTTTTGTGTGAAGCTTGTCTGAATTATCGAAGGCGTGGCTCTCATTTAGCCAAAATCATATTGTTGTCTACAGAGAAACATTTCAGATTTTTCATTATTATTATTATTATTATATATTTTTTGCAGTCTTTGTCTTCGTTGTACGATGTAATGCTACCAAAAGTCACAGCGCGCTAACTGAGCTGCACAGCTTGATGTATATTCTGGGAGTGGCTTTTTCTGAAGCTGCAGCAAGAAATGAATACAAATAAAAGAATGCACTAGAAACAGAAGACTAATGGGTGTTTTAGTGCTTACAAATATTGAGACCAGCAATAAATGCCTTTTATGCTTTTCTACCAGAAAGAAATGGTGTGTGTGTGTGTGTGTGTATCCCCTGCTGTAGAACAAATCACATTAGAGCCATTCAGTTTATGTAACGAGTAATGTCCTCGCTCGCGTCTGTTCACTGTGGTGTTCACTTGTTTTCTTACAAACAGACCCACTTCACAGCAGTTTGTCTTTAAAGTTTTATATAATTTTAGTGTCTATGGAAGTTTATTTAGTCGTCCCGCTGAGAAAAGAGGGGATTGTTTACTACAAAAACATTTTCTTATCAGGGTAATCTTCTAAAATTACCACAATGGCCCCAGTAAACGCAAATTATTTTATTTTCAACTTAACTTAAAGTCTATTCAGAATAGCTTTATTCAAAAAAGAAAAACCTAATTATGGGGTGCCGTTTGTGAGGTTACACAGTCAAAAATTAACAGCAATATTTTTGGTTTATTTAGCCTTTCGTAAGGAAAAAATAGTTTTTTGTTTCAAAGTCATATTTTAACCATGTTATTCATACATTTATAAATGTCATAGTCCCAAATTAAATATTTAGTTTACAAGCTAAACATTTAGTTTACAAACTAAATACTTAACTTGCACGTTAAATGAACACAAGCTAAATATTTAGATCCACATTAAATATATAGTTTACAAAATAAATGCTTATGGCCAAGCTAAATGTTTAATTTACAAACTAAATATTTAACTTGCAAATTAAATATTTAGTTAGTGAACTAAATATTTAGCTGCAAATTAAAATTTTAATTTCCAAGCTAAATATTTATTTCGAAAACTAAACATTTAAGTTCCAAACTGAACTGAACTTTTATTGTCCAAGCTAAACATGTAATTTCTAAGCTAAACATCCATCCATCCATCCATCCATCCATCCATCCATCCATTATCTTTTACCCGCTTCTTCCATTTTGGGTCACGGGGGTCGCCGGTGCCCATGTCCAGCCATCACTGTGCGAGGGGCGGGGTACACCCTGGACGGGTCGCAAGTCCATCACAGGGACACATAGAGACAAACGAGACAAACAACCATTCACTCTCTCACTCACACCTAGGGACAATTTAGCGTTATCAATCAGTCTAACATGCATGTTTTTGGTCTGTGGGAGGAAACTGGAGCACCTGGAGAAAACCCACGCATGCACGGAGAGAACATGCAAACTCCACCCAGAAAGGCCCCTGGACCGGGGTTTGAACCAAGGACCTGCTTGCTGAGAGGCAGCAGCTCTACCAGTTGTGTCACCGTGCTGCCCTGCTAAACATTTAATTCTTAAACTAAATATTTAATTTGCTAACTAAATATTTAGTTCGGACCTAAATATTAAATTTCCAAGCTAAACATTTAATTTCCAAAACAAACATTTAATTTGCTAACTAAATATTTAGCTCAGCCCTAAATATTTAACTTGCTAGCTAAATACTTAACTTGCAAGTTAAATATTTAGCTCAAACCTAAATATTTAGCTAGTTTGCAAATTCCTTGCCGAAAAGCAGAAGTGGACTATCAAAATAAAAGCTGAACCTCTATATAACCTCTTGCCAAACCACAAAAAAACCACAAAAAAAAAAACAACTGAAACAGAAGTATCTCATATGTGACGTATTTTATCATCATTCTTTTTCTCTGGACATGGCAATCGAGTTAGCAGAGAACATTGAATATGGCAAGAGGTGTATAACCTCAATACTTCACCATAAAACTTAAGCTGATTAAGCTAAAAAGTAAAAGAAGAAATATGTGAATGATTTCCATTCTTGAGAAAAGACATGGAATCTCATAATTGAATGGGAACAGAAAGATTTACTTTCTGCACGTTATGCAGATTGGTTTTATAGTGACTCTGGACTCTTTGATTGTGATGGCGAGTCGAGCCCGTGCGAACTGTGGACAGGTGTAAACGGTGCGACTGTGGACAGGTGTAAACAGTGCGAACTGTGGACAGGTGTAAACGGTGCGACTGTGGACAGGTGTAAACGGT